GGGCGAGGGAGGGACAAAGAAGATGGAGAGGCTTTGTGGGAACAAGAATATCCTGTTCATCCACTGGTGAAGAATCAAGGTAGATTCTTCAGGGCCATACCTGAGCTATTCATTCTTGAGTCAGTGCCAACATTGTAGAGGTAGTGCCTGGTTTTCAAATGACTGAATTATTTAACAACTGATGGTCACTCTAGCAAAGTTGCCAAAGTTCGGTGTGTCCATGAGCTCACTCCCCCCCTCCCCATTGTCTTATCTTGAAATTCATCTACCCTGTGACTGGGGCAACTGCTCCCTAGGATGGAACATCCTTTCCACCCAATCCCTATTTCACATCTCATACCAGAATCCATTTAGGACAAAGTAGGGAAGGGATGTATAAACTTATGGGAGTTGATCACTCTCCCCTCACTTCCTTAGGACCATAAGTGTTCCTAGCCCACATTCTGTCTCCTCACCAGTCCCCGCAGGTCATGGTTCATCCTGGCCCCCAATCTGAAATAGGATGTCTGGGGTCACCAGGTCTGGATTTTGGAGGGACCCTGCTCTAATTGTAGCAGAGGACTTGTTCCTGACATGAAGAAATTAGAACCATTGATTGTAATATTGTGCTTTGGGTACACGTAGTTTTGTGTCACAGGCTACTAATTACTCATCATGGATAATACATTGTTTCTATACAAGGCTAAATGAATTTTTTTTTTTTTAAAGATTTTATTTATTTATTAGAGAGAGAGAGATAGCGAGAGCAGGAACACAAGCAGGGGGAGAGGGAGACGCAGGCTTCCTGCCGAGCAGAGAGCCCGATGCGGGGCTCGATCCCAGGACCCTGGGATTATGACCTGAGCCGAAGGCAGACGCTTAACAACTGAGCCACCCAGGCGCCCCAAGGCTAAATGAATTCTAAGTTTCAGTAGATTTGAGTGAATTTAGTGGATACTAATCTCACTTAACCTTAAATTCTGACATTTAAACACATTTAGACATATTCCAGGAATTTAATTCTCCAAACACAAGAACACCTTGGTCACAATGGAAAGATTCACAATACTGAAGTTAACACCTTTATTTTCTTACCCTATGAAGACTTAGACGTGGTCATGACCACACAGATGTACTCTGTGCATGATCCTGTACCACATCTGTTTTCATGGTCTTTATCAAAAAGCTTTGGAGAAAAAAAAAAACAGTGCAGTATCTAACCTCTAACTCACTATTATTCACAGCATCAGAAATATAATTCATTTTAGGGACGCCTGGGTGGCTCAGTCAGTTAAGCATCTGCCTTCGACTCCAGTCATGATCCCAGGGTCCTGGGACCGAGCCTCACATCAGGCTCCCTGCTCAGCGGGAAGCCTGCTTCTCCCTCTCCCACTCTCCCTGCTTGTGTTCCTGCTCTCGCTATCTCTGTCTCTGTCAAATAAATAAATAAAATCTTTAAAAAAAAAAAAGAAAAGAAATAAGTCAAAGTTTAGGATGATGACATTTTTCTCCAGAGTGCGTTTTTGTTTGCTTATGCCAAGGGTTTGGGGAAATTGCCACTTTGGGATCAACTTAATCTAATTTCAAGGACTGATATCATTGGAAGCCAAGCTGCAATCCCCTAAGAGAGCCTTTCTATTCCTACTTCTGGCTCACCCCTATTCTTGGGGTGCAAAAGACCGAGCGCCTCAACCCAATGTGACAAACACTTACCAGGTCTACCACTCTCTGACAGGCCCAGACCCCTACTTCTGGAAGGCTGTCACAGTCACCCACCAGCCTCTGACCTGCCCCGCTCCACATTGCAAATGCCCCCAACAGAAGAGTGGCCTGTAATACTGGGGCCACTTCTCAGGGCCTCGATCTTCTCAGTGGTCCTGGTCCAGTAATTCTTTAAACACATTAGCTCTCTGATGCCTTTGGATTTTTAAAATCTTTTGTCCAGCCTTTCTAGTTGCCCTCAGTGGGATGGTCATCCAAAATTACCTATCCACCATTATCAGGAACAGAAGTTCTCATTGGTTGCACATTGGAGTTACTTGAGCAGGGTCACACACGGTATAGTAACAATATGTAAAATGTCAGTACACTGCTGTCCACCTCTGATTCTGTGTTAAAAAGAATTTTGTAGAAACAGTGAGGCCTTGGAAAAATCAATTGCTCTCCCTAACAGCAACTGCAGGTTTCTGTACTCATAGCAGCAGGTTTCTATACTCATGGGCTACTTCTTTCTACCTATGACAAAGCAGTTAATGATTTCACAAGTCTTTATTGAGAGCCTATTATGTGTAAGGGGAACAAAGAGGTGACATCCTCATTTTATAGCAGACACTAAATGATTAATTCGTTGGAAGACCTCAAGAGAAACCCTAAGGTTCAGGTTTCTGCTCTCCTCTGCTTTTTCAAATTGCATATTCTTCCCAAGGACATACAGGAATCTAACTTCTACTGTTTAAATGCCTTTATTTCAAATTAAACTGCAAAGGCAGAATAACAACTTGATATTTTTGGCTATTGGGGCAACAATGTTTGGCAGTTCTTTAAAAAAAAATTACAAATGACCAATAAGTGTATAAAAATTTCATTAAACAAAATAAATGCAAATTAAAACAGTGAGATACTTTTTCTATTAAAGTGGCAAAATAGTCTTTTAATGATAATAAATACCCAGTGTTAGGAAGGTTTCAGAGAAACGAGTGCTCTTCTACACTGCTGGAGGAGGTGAATTAGCACAGCTGTTTCTGAAGAATATGTGTCAATAGAGCAAAGTCATGAAAACATGCATACCCTGCAATTCTACTTCTAATAACGTAGGAAATAATTGAGAATGTGTATACAGATTTAACTATAAAGTTGCACGTTCCATCACATTGTTTCTAAGAAACTGGAGACAATCTAACAGTAGATTGTTTAAATAAATTATAATACAGAAATACAATGGAATACTAAAAACAAGGGTGTCCATAGATGGTTATCTGTTAACATGGGAAGTCAGTATGTTGTCAAATGGAAAAAGCAAGTTATAAAAGAGCACAGTATGATATAGTATTTATTTTTAAAAACCATATATGTTTATATATACATATAGAAAAACACTGAGAACTGGAGTCTCACCACATCACCAGAGGCAGTCTCTGGATGGTGGAAATGAATGATTAAAAAAATGTTTATACCCATTTTTGTATTTATCTGCAATGAATGTGTACTATTCTGTGATTAAAAAAGGAAAAAAAAAGTCAAAGTCTAATTAAAAAAAAATGCTTTGTGCACGTTTTGGCTTGTGATAGGAGGGGCCACATGCCCCTAGAGGCATCTACTTGGTTTTGTTCCTTCTGACCTGAGTGGATAATTCTCACAGTTGTTTTTCTACAAATGCCATAATCATGGACATTTGACCATCTAGAGAACAGTTCTCTCATTTTCAGCTAGAGCTCACCGAGGCTATGACTGGGGAAGGAAGCCACCTTTCTAGAGTAGGTTGGTTGCAAAACCATGTCCAAGGCCTACACTTTAGTTGGGGAACCCTTAGAAAAGTTCTGGGGAGAAAGAAGGTAGAAGCAAGCAGAAAATAGATACAGAAGGATGGGCTGTAGATTGTAGGATTTCTATTTAGTCCTTATTTCAATTTCAGGGTCTCCTCAATCTTAGAGGTAGGGCTTATGGGAGGACACCTGAGACCTGTTCATAGAGATTCCTAAGATGTTGAGTCACTTCAGAAGAGAAATGAGAGAACAAGTGACAATCATACTGAAAGGTTAATAAGTTTGCTAACATTGAACTGTTAGAGCAACCCCACAGCGATAGAGATAGTGGCATTTGGACAGAAAGTTTGTGTTCTGGGTTGGTACAGGGATTCCCATTGAACCACAACTCTGAGGACCATGCTTAGTAGGTTCAGTAAATGATGACACCATCCATTAGAGAAGTCTCTCCTAAGAACAAAGGAAGAGTTACTTGTGCAGATAAGACAAACCTGTAAAGTCATGTATAACGTGGCAAAGGTCTGTCCCTCCTATTTCCCATATCCTCCACTCTGAGTCGAAACCAGGGCTGAGTTTTCCTGGGGTGGCTGCCAGATAGGGCTGAAAATCTGATTCTCAACCTACTTCTAATGTAAAGAGAAACCACGGCAAGATTTGAAGGGAAAAGGGGATATATTCATCTTCACAATAAAAAGTCACTATAAACCTAGAGACTCAGCTCTCAAACATGGTATTACAGGTGTGTCCGAAGTAATGTGTTTCTTATTAGTTTAAATACCGAAGTCTGTAAATGCTATAGTTTTAAAAAGAATAAATTACTGTAGATAAAGTTAGTCATACAACAAAGTCACTCTCAGACACTTGTATGCTTTCTTGAATGAGACAAAAATGTGGAGTTTGAACTATTAGCACGAGCATCAGCTGTCATGTGTCATCTTGGCTAAAAGGCTGAATGCTGCTCTTACAGAGCAAGAAACAAGGGAGCCCAGGGTCAGAGAGCCCAGGCAGGATGCCAGGGATGAGAGCAGATTTGTAGACGTGTTCCAGTGTCCTGCAACTGGGGGAAAAGGGAGATTAGGAGATGTGGGGACGCAAAGTGAGCTATTTAAGAGGCATGCACTTGAGGCTTTAAGGAAGCGGGATTAGCCCTATGCATGTTCAACCGGACATGTCGATACTCATAATTTACATTAGTACAGAGAAGGTGGCGGCAGAGCGGTTACACAGGGTTAAAGGCCAGTTCTTGAGGGGAGTAGCTTTTATAGATGGGGGTGGAGCTGTGTCCCCCTCCCCTCAGTTACTCATGGGAAACCCGTTCCAAGGCCACATAGAAACTGTTCTTGTCATCTAGGCAATGCCAGCCAATTGGTCCGATTTCACAGTCTGCGCACACCAGAAACTTGATGTTGCCCACGTCCTTGGTGAAGCCCACGTTCTCAAAGATGAACATGTCATCGACCAGCCAGTGCTCCTGGAGGAGATCGCCATCAGGATTGCTGCCATCAGCCAGAGCTGGCTTCTTTCTCATGGAGGGAAGGAAAAGCTGCAGGGGAAGAGAACACAAAGAATACGCAGGCTGACTGGCCCAGTCACATCATCACCCCCATTCTGCTTATACTTTACATTGCTCCCTGGCAGTTTCTTGGAATGAAAACGAGATGAGCAGCCCTAACACTAAGTTAATAGACCAGAATGCTGAGTGGCTTCTCTGTTGCCTCTAGTCCATGCCCGGATTCTTAAGACACACGAAAGAGGTAACGTGCTGTTGTCATGTGGCTTCACTGCTGTCCTTACCATGGTCTGTATGGCCCTGCCTGTTCCTCATCTCCGTCTAGGTCATTCTGCTGCAGCCCCACTGGCCTTCTTGCCTCCTTCTGACAGGGTGAGTGTGCTCTGCCCTCAGATCTCGGCAAAGCTGGCTCCTTCATGATATTCAGCTCAAATGCAACCTCTTCAGGAGGCCTTCTCTGACCAAACAATGAGTAAGATTCCCATACTGCCCACTGTATTTTGTTTTTTAAAATGCCTTTCCTGCGGTGTAATCGATACATACACTGCACATATTTAAAGTGTACAATTTGATACATTTTGGCCCATGCAAATACTGATAAACCATTCCCAGCAAGAAGACAAGCGTATTCGTCACCCCCGAAAGTTTCCTTATGCCACACCTCTTTCTTATCATTCTCTGAAATTATTAATTTATTGGCTTAGTTATTTACCATGGGTGTCCCTCCACTAGAATGTAAGCGCCAAGAAAGCAAGGAGCTTACCTTTCCTGTTCACTACTATAACTCCAGCGCCAAGAATAATAACGGATACAGAGCAGGAACTCAAATATTTATCAAAAGAATAAATACAGGATATCTGGCTTTGCTCTAGTCTATCAGTGTTACATATATGCTGGATTTATCTTACAAAAAGAGCATTAAAAAGGAAAATCTAGTTCTAGAATTTGGAATATCATCCCGAGGATCCTTGTACCCCCTAATCAACATGCCTTCCCGATCATTAGGACAAAGCCTCACACACATACACACCCTTTAATTTCTTCCCTGTAAGGTTAGTTTACGCACTTTTAGCTGCCCCAGCGTACTCGAAGATACGATGCCAGCAAAGCTTCTTACCCCTCTGCTCCTCATCATTATTTCTGCTGCCAGTACACTTATTTTCCACCCCAGGGTACACTTCCACTGCATCCCCAAACTCTAATAAAACAGGATGGCCTCAATGTGCTAGTCTGACATTGGCAAGCAGAATAAAAGCAAAAACCAGTTGTTGTTTTTTTTTTAATTAAAAAAAAAACTGGACCGACATCAGTCCAAAAGAGGCAAATGCTTTGGTAGGGATGAGCAAGCCTCTTCCTGAACTCAACTATCAGGGAATCACAAAGCTGCTAGTATGTATTAAATACCCTGGAGTTCGCACTTCTGAACTCTGGGCCAGATTCTGGCCAGTGGCTGTCCCTAATAGGGAGGAGAGAGCACTGATCCAGAACATTCTACTCCCCATCTGCCCAGCACTTGGCTTAGTAAAACAGGTATCTGCGCACTACCCTATGTGGTGTCACCTGAGACATCATCTGAGGACATCACAAAATAGGACAGTCCCTCCTCCTCTTATATTGTCATTCCAGTCACCCTTTTCACCTCATCTAATGTTTAAATGAGTCCCCACTGCTTTGTCTTACCCTAAGTGAAAATGGGAACAGGCAGAAGCAAAGAGGAATCAAAATTCAGGGACCAGGACACCTGGATTCCAAACCTAGCTGTATCTCTCTGGATTTCCTACAAGTATTTCTGGCCTATAGTGTAGGTGTGAAATCATCTTAACTAAACATAAGGCAAGTGAAACTTTAAGGGGAGAAAAATCAAAGACTTTTTAAACATTAGCCTTTAAAAAGTGTCTAAGAAAGGAGCATCAGCTTCCCTCCCACTGTTTTTTGTATTGTTTTGTTTTTATAATGCAAAACACCACCTCTGCAGTCTCTTTTTTGAGTAGTGATTTGAGGGAAATACTATTAACCATTCATTCAAGGGGTCAGACTGGGTCCTGTTCCCCCTCTTTCTCAACATTCCCATTTTTATTTAAATCCTGTAAGTCAGATCCACAAGGCTAGACTTATATATATATATGTACATTGTACGTGTATCTGTATGGCTCTCAACCCATTCTCTGCAGTGCCCAGGGCTATTGCAGGGTCAAGTTTTGGGATCTAACATTTGGAATACAATTAGGCTTTCTAGATAAACATTGGGGTGGAAATCAAAAAATTACTATCTAATTTGAGGCTGCTAACTTAGCTGGTTGGAGGCCAAAGTTGCCAGTTACATCCCTGACCAGGTGGGTTAACTGCTCACGACCCCAGCCAGTACCCTAATCCTGGACCATCTCCTCAGAGAGATGTAGAATACCCCCAACTCAGTGAGATTGTCAGTGGAACTCCTTTTCCTTTTTCAAGAACTGCTAACAAGGGCACCTGGATAGCTCAGTTGGTTAAGCATCTGCCTTTGGCTCGGGTCATGATCCTGGGGTTCTGGGATAGAGCCCCGCATCAGGTTCCCTGCTCAGTGGGGAGTCTGCTTGTCCCTCTACCTGTGCCTCTCTCCCTGCTCGTGTGCTCTCTCTCACAAATAAAATCTTTTTTTTAAGATTTTATTTATTTAGGGGCACCTGGGTGGCTCAGGCGTTAAGCGTCTGCCTTCGGCTCAGGTCATGATCCCAGGGTCCTGGGATCGAGCCCCGCATCGGGCTCCCTGCTCAGCGGGAAGCCTGCTTCTCCCTCTCCCCCTGCTTGTGTTCCCTCTCTTGCTGTGTCTCTCTCTGCCCGATGCGGGGCTCGATCCCAGGACCCTGGGATCATGACCTGAGCCGAAGGCAGACGCTTAACGCCTGAGCCACCCAGGTGCCCCACAAATAAAATCTTTTTTTTTTTTAGAAAAGATTATTTATTTATTTGTCAGAGAGAGAGAGAGAGAGAGAGAGAAAGAGCACAAGCAGGGGGAGCAGCAGGCAGAGGGAGAAGCAGGCTCCCCGCTGAGCAAGGAGCCCAATGTGAGACTCGATCCCAGGACACTGGGATCATGGCCTGAGCCGAAGGCAGAGCTTAACTGACTGAGCCACCCAGGCATCTCATAAATAAAATCTTTGGGGAAAAAAACCAAAACTGTTAGCCACCCTTTTAAAAATATTTTCTCTTTGTAAAAATCCATTCTCATGGTAGAAAACTTGGCAAGCATGCTACAATATAGATGAAAATAAAAACTGTTACAATACAGAGCAAACTTGTAACTTTTTTGAAACTTTCTCCCTTCTGTGAGTATTTGTGATGGTTTTAAAACGTGCACAAATTCTTTGACAATCCTTCCACTAGGAGGTGGAGTCCATGCCTCTCTCCCTGAGCCTGGACAGGCCCCTGTGCTAGCCCCTGATGATTCAAGTGAGGTGGAGGTGACAGGCTAGGTTAGAAAAGGCCAGGCCACTTTTGCCGGTTTCTGTGGGACCACTTGCTCCGGGAGCCTTCAGCTTCTATGTAAGAATTGCGGCTCCTGAGGCCACCACGTGGAGAGACCATGGGGACAGATGCCCCCAGAGCCTGTCCCGGTGCTCAGGTGTTTGAGTCTTCCCAGTCCACAGGCAGACATGTGAGGGAGAGAGCGTTTCAGATAACCCTTCTGCCTGCACACGAAAGACCCCAAATGAGAACTGTCTAGCTAGCTCCAGTCAACTCCCCAGATTGTGAGCAAAATAAATGTTAATGTTTTAGGTCACCATTCTTGGGTGATCTTGTTACACAGCAGTAGAGAACTAGAATATTGCCTAACATAGTTGAAATGCATGTTCCATTCTAATTCCTAATTTTTTGTGATCAACTATATATACATACCATAAAACATTTTTAAAAAAGATTGTATTTCAGAGAGAGAGAGTGTGTGTGAGCAGGGGAAGAGGCAGAGGGAGAGGTAGAGAGAGAATCCTCAAGCAGGCTCCCCGCCGAGTGTGGAGGCTGATGTGGTGGCAGGGGGGTGAGGGGTAGCGATCCCAGGACCCTGAGATCACAACCTGAGCCAAAATCAAGACTCATGCTCAAATGACTGACCCACCCAGGCTCCACTAAAACTTACCATTTAAGTCATTTTTAAGTGTGTGGTTTAGTAGCATTAAATAAATATATATATATGTTGTGATGCAACCATCACCCCCATCACCACCATCCATCTCTAGAATTTGTTCCTCTTCCCAAACTTGGTACCCATTAAACACTAACTCCCCATTTTCCAGTCCATTGCAACCACCATTGTGCTTTCTTTCTCTATGAATCTGACTACACTTGGTACCTCATATGAGTGGAATCATACAGTATTTGTCTTTTGGTGACTAGCTTATTTCACTTAGCATAATGTCCTGATTTTTAAAATGTTTAATCAGGGGTGCCTGGGTGGCTCAGTCGTTGAGCGTTTGCCTTCAGCTCAGGTCATGATCCCAGGGTCCTGGGATCGAGTCCCACATCGGGCTCCCTGCTTGGCGGGAAGCCTGCTTCTCCCTCTTCCACTCCCCCTGCTCGTGTTCCCTCTCTCGCTGTGTCTGTCAAATAAATAAAATCTTTTTTTTTTTAATTTTATTTATTTATTTGACAGAGAGACACAGAGAGAGAGGGAACACGAGCAGGGGGAGTGGGAAAGGGAGAAGCAGGCTTCCCGTGGAGCAGGAAGCCCGATGCGGGGCTCGATCCCAGCATCCTGGGATCATGACCTGAGCCGAAGGCAGACGCTTAACACCTGAGCCACCCAGGCGCCCCATAAATAAAATCTTTAAAAATAAATTAATAAAATGTTTAATCAGCTTTAAAGTTGTTTTTTTTTTTTTTTTAAGATTTTATTTATTTATTCATGGGAGACAGAGAGAGAGGCAGAGGGAGAAGCAGGCTCCCAAGGAGCAGGGAGCCCGATGTGGGACTCGATCCCAGGACGCTGGGATCATGACCTGAGCCGAAGGCAGACGCTTAACCATCTGAGCCACCCAGGCGCCCTAAAGTTGTTTTTTTTTTAAGATTTTATTTGCTTAATGACTGAGCCACCCAGGTGCCCCAGTTTTAAAGTTTTACTGAGGTAACTGTAGGTTCACATGTAGTGAAGAAATAATACAAATAATATACTAATTAGTTCTATATTAAGAAACAATACAGAAATTCCAGGTACCCTGTGTTTGGTAATAGAGTTTTCCCCGATGGTAATATTTTGCAAATCCAGAGTATAAGATCACAAACAGGACATCAACACTGATACACTCCATTGATTTTATTCAGATTTCCCCAGTCTACTTGGACTCATTTCTGTGTGTAATGTGTGTGTATACAGTTCTGTCAATTTTACCCCGAGTAAGTTCACGTATCCACCACCACAGTCAAGACACTGAACAGTTCCACCACCAGGAGGATCCCTCACGTCACTTTTATAACCACACTTACCAAAGCGCCCAGCCCCCAGTTCCTAGCCCCGGCAATCACTCATCTGCTCTCCGTTTCTAAAACTCAAAAACGGCACAGAAATGGAATCATACAGTCTGTAATATTTGGGGACTGGCTTTTGTCACTCAGCATAATTCCCTGGAGATCCGTCCAAGTTGTATGTATCAGTAGCTCACTCCACTGTAGTTCATTCCAGTGGACGGCTGTACCACGGTCTGTTTAGTCATTCCCCTGTTGAAGGACACCTGGGCTGTTTCCAGTTGGGGGACAGTATGAATAAAGGTGCAATGAACAGGTGTTTGTGTGAACGTAAGTTTTCATTTCCCTGGGATAGAGGTCCCACAGTGTACTGGCTGGGTCGAAGATTAAGGACATGTTTTGCCTCAGAAGAAAGTGCTCTTGGGTGTGCCCTCAGGTCCTCTGCTCTCATATTCTTCACCAAACACCGCTCTATACTTTCTCCTATGAGTTAATCTTCCACTGCCCACTCCTGCCACGAATCTCTCCCTCCAAAAAATGTAAAACAGCAAATTACTCTCTTCTATGATAACATCATCACTGTTTCCTACATTCTCAAACTTTGGTGAGGGTTCCCCTTTCCTCTTTGTCTTCATGGGGAAGTAAGGCTCTTTGCTGAGGACACCAGTGCTGCCCATTCTCTGACACTCCACCTACTTCAGGATCGGGAACGGGAACCAGTGCTCTCCTTGCTTCCAAATTATTACTCCTACATCCTCACATCCACCTCTGCTCCTTTAAGGTTTCTGCCATCTGGTGACCCCTCACTGTCATCTGAGGTGGCCTGGTCACTCTGCACTATCCACAGCTGACTGGCACCTGGCTCAGTCTCCTTTGTGATTCCACATCCTACCCCCACTTGTGAGCTTCTACCCCCCAAGGGGATGAGTCATCCCCAGAGCTCCCTCACCTCCTCTATTCCAATCACCTTAACTCCAACTGGCCTCTTTTCTTGCCAGTTTTATTACATCCTGTGTTCTGGCCAAGTTGAACTTTTCAGTTCTTTAAACACACCAATGCTTTTTCTAACAACTGAAACATCACACTGCTGTTCCCTCCATCTCTATTCAGCTTCATTATAATTTCCTCTGTCATCAACTTTAGATAAGATTTCAAGAAGTACCAAGTTCAAGGGTATGAACATTTTATATGTAAAACCAAACCAGTTATAGGGGCACTTGGGTGGTTCAGTCGGTTAAGCGGCTGCCTTCAGCTTGGGTCGTGATCCCAGGGTCCTGGGACTGAGCCCCACAGCGGGCTCCTTGCTCAGCAGGGAGCCTGCTTCTCCCTCTGCCTGCCGCTCCCCCTGCTTGTGCTTGCTCTCCCCCAACCTCTGTGTCAAATAAATAAATAAAATCTTAAAAAAAAAAGTTATAGGGCTTACAAAGAACACATGCTGCACCAACAGTGACCTACTAATCCATTCTCACCATGCTAACCCATTATTTACACTGGGCTAATAGCTTTTGTTCACTAATTTATTTAAATCTAAGTATCTATTAAGATCTTACTTATGTGCACAGTCTTAAGTGTAGGAGATACACAGGTGGACAGGATACAGGACCTCATAGGCTAGTGCTATAAACAGCAAATACTAACAATATCGTAAGATCAACTGAGATTATAGATGTGAATGTGCTTTGTAGTCTTTAGGCCATGGTTTCTCAATCTTGGTACTACTGACATTCTGGGATGGAGAATTCTTTGTTGTGGGGCCAGGGGGAGTGGGGGTTGGTGTCTTATGCTTTGCAGGATGCCTTGCAGCATTCCTGGCTTCTACCTACTAGGTGCCAGCAGCACCCTGTTATAGACTGAATGTGTTTCCCCCCCAATTCTTATGTTGAAACCTAACTCTCAGTGTGATAGGTCATGAGGGCAGAGCGTATTTTTAGGGACAATTTTGAGTGATAGGCTATGCACATAGCTGAAATGAGATTATACTTTACACTTTCCTGTGGGTATGTTACATCTCAATAAAAATTTACCAAAATAAAAAATTGTTCTCAACTTTCCCCTTTGGGGTGATGTATGAAGGAGATTAAAATCTGTAACTTGAAGAAAAGATTAGAATAGAAATTAAATTTTCCTTCAAAATTGATTTTCAGGACTTGATGTGTCCATCCCACTTGAAACAGGATTCGTTTGAGAAACTGCGTTCCACCCAGCACCTTGGTAAAGCGTGTAGGTTACGGGAGTCATCTGTCACATCCCCTACACCAAAGTTGTTTCTGGAGCTCCTTCTGGGGCGGAGAGGCGCCCGACAGAAGGGAGACCGGCGGGTGCGGTGTGATGCGGGCCGCGAGTCCAGGTACACGGGCGCCATCGGGCCGCTCCGCAGCGTGGAGCTGCAAGAGCTGCGGGCGTCCCGGGGCGCCGGGCCCTCGGAAGCCGGCGGGCTCGGCTCGGTCCTGCACCGCACGCGGAGCAGCACGTCCACACCTAGCGCGGGGCTAGGGCCGGGGGTCCGGCCCGCCCGGGAGACCGGCCCGGGCTGCGCTCCGGCCGCGCAACTCCGGCGCGGGCAGCTTCGGGCGCAGCCGGGCCGCGACGAGGGGCGCGGTCTCCGGAAACGCGCGCGGGGACCCGGACTCCAGCCGCCGCGGCCCCCTGTGAAGGCGTGCGGGTGAGAGCCGCCTCCAACCTGCCTCCCTACCTGTCGGCGGGAGAAGAGAGCGGTCCCTGGCTGCAGCACCCGGGAGCCACAGCGTTGGCACAGCACCGCCTTCCGGTTTCGGCCCTCGGCTGACACTAAGTCGTTCAGCGGCTCCGCTGGTTCCATCGCCGCTACCGCCACAGCTCCCTCGGCCACGACCGCGCAGGCGCTGTCTCTGCGGGATCTTCTCGGAACTGCGCTGGCGCGGCTTTCAGAGACGGGGCGGGGAGCGCGCGGTCACTCCCCCTCTGCGCAAGCGTCCGCTTCCCCCGCTCTGGATTCTACTGCGCAAGCGCCTCATTCATTGCTTAACCTGAGTGGTTAGGTGTCCGCTGGCTTTGTGACAGGCTCCCTCACTTCCTGGGACGTGACAAATCCTGTCTTCATACTCACCTGGTCACTGGCCTTCCCTTACTACTGAGTAAAACCCGGGTAGATAATTCACGAAAGTTGACCATACCTTTTAGTTTACTGAGATTTGAATTTAGTCTTATAAACGAACGGGGACGTTTCTGGAGGCAACGTGAAGGGAATCTGGGTTACACTACACATCAGCAAGTTTTTCAACATTAGTTTCTTCAGTAAGAGACTACTTAGAGGGACATGTACCTTTTTGGTGTTGGAAAAAGATGCCTGGAAACTTTACTTGCTGGTCTCTGTTCTGATCATAGTGACCATTTACTATGTGGCAAAACACCGTGTTGAAATGCCTTAGAAACAAACCTATTGCATCATCACGATTTCCTTATGGGGTTGTCACTAATTACTCCCAGTGCACAACTGAGGAAGGGGAAGATCAGAAAGGTTACTTTCCAGGGTCCATAGATCCAGGCATGGCTTTAAAGCCACCGCTCTTGGGGTCATTACACTATACTTTCCCGTTCCATTTCCATAGATCTCCAGCTTATCAGTTCTAGTGCATTAGGCCACGGATATCCTGAAGTGGCAAGGGAAGGAGAATACGAAGGGGAACTAAGCTACTTGATTAGGTAATGTCTAATCTACTCAACACCCCCATCTGTTTTTCTTTTTCCTTTGTCCTTCAGGAATTCAACATTTAGAGAGTCGTTCTGTAATATAACTAAACCCTGAGGATACAATGATAATAGGCACCCTATATTCGAGAGCACAGTCTGAACAGGAAGACCTACCCCAAACCAATGACATATGATAAAGACAATCATGGGAACAAAGATAAATGGAAGCCAGGGTTAGGGAATAATCCCCAGCTGGAGAGTCAGAAAAAGCTTTAACTAGGTGACATCTGAATTAGGCATCAGAGTGTGACTAGGATTTGGTCTGAAAAGCAAGATTATTTCAGATAGAAGAACAGTGGAATACCTGAACAACGGTGAGAACAAATTTAAGAACGGAATGTATTTGGAACTTTTAAAGATAAAATCATGTAGAACGTAGAAATGAATTGGATGTCTGTATTGTAATGGGGATGACACAAGATAAATAAATGACAGATCTCTGAGACTGGGTAACTAAGTGGCTGGCTGCCATCTAAGAGAGCTAGAAAAACAAGAGGAACCCCCAAATTAGGGGTACCTCTGTGTATGTGCATGAGCAAAGTGTGTGAGACTGGCAAGAGTGGAAAGAGAGCAAAGAGTTTCAGTTTTCTACAGAATATTCAGTTGTGGCTGCCATATGAAGAACTATTTGGGAATTTGGTCTGAAACTCGGAAAAATCAGCAGTAAAGATAACCATCAGTTCTTTACTCCCCACTTCTCTGCCTCCCCTGCATCTCTTCCTGATAGGATGAGTCACATGTTTCATAGCTGTGGTTTGATCAGCAGGCACAATCCATCTGCTGAGGAAAAGTTGGCAGGTTCCTTTAGAGAAAATAACTTCCCCTTGGCCTCCCCCATCCCTTTGCTCTGGAAATACAGGATTTTTTGCAGTTTTGCAGGCCTTCTGCATAGTTGTTTGTATAAATCTAAGCAAACAGAAATAGGACTGGAGTGACTAAAACCCTAAAAGTCAAGTGAGTATTAAATGAGCTGAAGATTGAGTCTTTATTCTATTTGGCGTTCAAGTAAACTCCAAGTGTGAAAGGAGTCAATAAATATGCAATTTTATATAAATATTTTACTGATGAGAATCTCCGCAAGGGTAAAGGGGCTACCTCTTACCTATGTCTAGTACAGCTAGTTGGCGAACACATAAGGTGAACGGGGAGGAGAGACAGGACATACAGCTGATTGCTAGGCCTGCTCTCCCCAAATATCTGCAAGACAGTGGTCAGCCATAAACTCTCTTAAAGGCATTTGAGACAATTGATTTTTAATATTTTCTTAAAAAAATACAAAGGAAATGAACTCTTGAGGTCAATACAACTCAGGGAAAGAGGAAAAAATGAAATTTTGGAATAAAGGAAAAGTGCATCCTTGTTTAGGTTATCACATCCCCAACACTCCCAATACCCCACAAAACCAAGAATTTCACTCCAAAACACAGGGGAACCTTGAATGGTGGCTCAGAAATGGCGATAGCAAGTACTGGAACAAAAGGATTTTGGTTGTCCTTGATTATTCTGTCCTGGGATGAATAAAATCCACTCTAAGGACAGGTGAGGGAAACTTATAGTAGGAAAACGATTAACTGTACCAAACACAGCAGTAATAAGCACTCCTCAGCAGAAGGGTGCCCTTAACAGAATGGGGCAGTAATCAGGTAGCTGCCCTTTTAGGCTGCTGCCACCCCCACCCCATCCCCAAATAAATAGTAATGAAGTATAATAGTATAGTAGTATTTGATTCAACACAGAAAGATAGTGTCTCACCCACTCAAGGCAAACCATGCCATGGATAGGTGAGCCCTGGCAGGAAATAAGACGACTGTAAAATCACAGGTACTTCTACTTCCCAGGCATACGGAACTCCCACATTTATTCCATGTCTGCTCAGCCCAACATCTGTTCACTCTTATTCTGTCAGTCTCCGGTGCCAAGATGCGCACCATTCTAGTTCAGAAAGACCATGGGGAAATAAAAAGATCCTTCCAATAATACACCCTTTAAGTCCTCCAGGTTATACTTCAGTGGTGTTCTAGGTTCACTCAAATTCCACCAAATTCCGTTGACTTCCCTTACTCTAAACCCAGTTCTGATATACCAACCCTGTCCCTTAAGGGAGTGCCAGGTCTCTCCCCAAGCCCCCCCAAATTTTGACAGGGGGCTTTTCCCTTTGTTATCCTCCTGAATGCAACTGTGTTGCCCCTAGCTACTGTAGACTAGGAAAGATATTCCTGGACAACGAGACTTGGATTTTACCCAGCTGACTCAAGTTCATATCCTTCCAATCATCTACGCCGGATACTGCCCACACCTAGTAGGTCACACTCACCTTCCTTCTCTGCAATACATGAGGCACAACAGACAGATTCTCCTGAGCACGTGAGAGTGCTCTCTAGACCAGGAGGAGAGGTGATCTGGCCTCTCAGATCCATTCAGTGTGCACGGGCTTCCCCTGAGTGTCTATTACCCACCCTCCTCAGGGACAACCACCAGCGCAAAGCGCAGTGTGTATCGAATAAGTACAGTCATCACTGCAGCAGTGCTTGTAATCACCCTGTGCGCACAGTGAGAAATAGATATTCTGGAAAGGATCCTTGACTCTCCCATAAACTGTCCCGTGGACTGGTCACTAGGCCTGGATGGTGCTCCAACAATGGTCACTTCTCTCGAAGAACACACACGCCAGCATCACAGCGCTGGGTTCCCATGGATGTCACTACTTCCCAGTTGTCGATGATAGGGTCATAGCACTCAATGCTACTCAGCAGGGAATTCCCATCATATCTGAGTGGGGAAGAAGCAAAAGGAGAAAATGAACTTTCTATTCCTTTCCATATAGTCCCTACATTAAAGGTTGCCACTGGAGGTGTCTCCCCCGACCCGAAGGCGGTCTTGATCCCAAACTTCCGATTGGATCATGTGGTCCTGGATGCATGATGACTCTAGTGTGGCTTCCAAATCCTTACCCTGCAATAGCATAAAGTCTCCCCCGAAGCACCGTGGCCCCTACGTAGCATCGTGGAGTGGTCATACTAGTGACAGTTGTCCAGGAATCGGTGCGAATGTTGTATGCTTCAACAGAAGAAAGATGGGCTGTACCATCAAATCCCCCCACCACATAAATATGGTCATTCAGCAGGGCTACTCCTGCACCTGGGGGAAAAAAGGGCATAGCAAGTGAATACTACTAAGCTTAGGATCAGAATTGGAAAAACAAAACATGACCACTGATGGCTAGCTGAATTCTAAGGTAGCTGAGGGATGTGGACTAGGGCCAGACAGGCCTAGAATAATCTAGTTGTCTTTATTATCACTGTGTTTAGAGAAAAGACAGGCAAAGAGGAAAATGGAACCTCACTCCTTTTACTATAAGTGTTCAGTGAAGAAAGAACTACAACTCTGATTTGTTGATCCCCTATTTTTGACTGCAGCACCACTGCACATATAAAGATTTGTCAGCATGGTCTACTGTCCTCTCCCTTAGATATGACTTACCAGAGCGCTTGGTGGCCATTGGTGTAACATTAGTCCAGTGTCCTGTGTGGGGATCATATTTCTCAACTGAATTTAAGATATTCAGGCCATCATATCCTCCTGAAAAAGTAGAGACCATTTCAGAAAGAATGGGAAATCCTCATGCCCATTCCCAGGCTGCCTTTCTCTGAGTGTTTCAACTAATTCTTTTAGTTTCAGTTCTTAAGAGTTTCAATAATCCAGGGGCGTCTGGGTGGCTCAGTCGTTGGGCATCTGCCTTCGGTTCAGGCCATGATCCCAGGGTCCTGGGATCAAGCTCTGCATCAGGCTCCCTGCTCCGCGGGAAGCCTGCTTCTCCCTCTCCCACTCCCCCTGCTTGTGTTCCCTCTCTCCTGTCTCTCTCTCTGTCAAATAAATAAATAAAATCTTTTTTTAAAAAAAAGGAGTTTCAATAATCCAAAGAGAAATCTGACACCCTATTTTCTGCTTCCACAAAAAAGATAATCCTAGCTAACAGAAAAGATACAAGGATAGACTATGATTTTAGTTGAAAAAAGCCTATGAACATTTAAAAAGGGATCCCCACCCAGAGGTTGCCACCTATTAAGTTCCCTCCCATCTCTGCCTCCGAGACTGAATACCTAGACAGTAGATCACTCCGCTGGCCACAACTAGTCCAGCGCCCTCCCGGGCTGTTTGCATATCTCCTAGCATGCTCCACTGGTCAATGTTTGGGTCATATCGCTCCATACTGGTATGACGCCTGCTTCCATCAAAGCCTCCAGATACATAGATCATATCTGCTCAGAATGAATGAATCACAGACTATTAGAGGATGAGAGATTTCTAATAACTCTTCTCTTTACAAATTCCCCACAAGTACTTCAAATGTTTGGGAACAAAAACAAAGTGTTTTTCATGGGTAAGTCAATTACCTGAATATAGATAAGGAAGACATCACAGTTAAGACACCTAAAAAGATGGGGCACCTGGGTGGCTCAGTCAGTTGAGGGCCCAACTTTTTTTTTTTTTTTTTTGAGTGCCCGACTCTTGATTTTGGCTCAGGTCATGAGCTCAGGAGGATCGTGGGATGGGGCTTCATGCTCAGCAGGGAGTCTGCTGGAGATCCTCTCCCTCTGCTCCTACCTGCCCCCAACACCTCTGCTAGCGTGTGCACTCCCTCTAAAATAATAATCTTTAAAAAAAAAAAAAAAAAAAAGACGTCTAGGGGCACCTGGGTGGCTCAGTCGCTAAGCGTCTGCGTCTGCCTTCGCTGGGATCAAGCCCCACATCAGGCTCCCTGCTCAGCGGGAAGCCTACTTCTCCCTCTCCCACTCCCCCTGCTTGTGTTTCCTCTCTCGCCGTCTTGCTCTGTCAAAATAAATAAATAAAATCTTTAAAAAAAAAAAAGTGTCTAATTTCAATTTAGGTCATGATCTCAGGGTCCTGGGATTGAGCCCCTGGGATGGGCTCCCTGCTCAGCAGGGAGTCTGCTTCTCCCACTGCCCCTCCCCCCAGTCATGCACACATACTCTCTCTCTCTCAAATAAATAAAATCTTTTTTTTTTTTTTTTTTTTTTTTTTTTTAAAGATTTTATTTATTTATTCATGAGAGACAGAGAGAGAGAGAGAGAGAGAGAGAGAGAAAGGCAGAGGGAGAAGCAGGCTCCCAAGGAGCAGGGAGCCCGATGCGGGACTCGATCCAGGGACTCCAGGATCATGACCTGAGCCGAAGGCAGATGCTCAACCATCTGAACCACCCAGGCGCCCTCAAATAAATAAAATCTTAAAAAAAAAAAAAAAGACACCTAAGGGCGCCTGGGTGGCTCAGTTGGTTAAGCGACTGCCTTCGGCTTGGGTCATGATCCTGGAGTCCCTGGATCGAGTCCCGCATCGGGCTCCCTGCTCGGCAGGGAGTCTGCTTCTCCCTCTGACCCTCCCCCCCTCATGTGTTCTCTCTCAAATAAATAAATAAAATCTTTAAAAAAAAAAAAAAGACACCTAAAAAGAATGGGGTCAGATGGAATCCTCAAAGATTAGCTGGAGTTTGAAAAAAACACAACTAGTGCCAGTTCTCCACTCAGCACACTGGAACATGATTTACCAACTCTGTTGTCAGTGTTGAAATATCCATTAATACTGAAAAGCTTTGGTAAGTAACATCAGTATTTCCAAAAGCAAAAAGGAATATTTAACCTTACCAGTATCCTCCACATTTCACTCTCCTGCCAGATAACAGGAGAGGTATGAACCCTGATCCAGCCACAACAAAATGGAAACACTGCCCTGCACACCAAGCATACCTCCTAGGGTGGTGGCTCCAGCAAGGCCTCGCCGGACATTCATAGGGGCGACAGAATACCAGACTCCGTCCTCATCTGCTGTATAGTCTAGACATTCCACTGAACTGAGGCGGGAACGGCCATCATAGCCACCAATTACATAGATCCGATCATGTAGGGACACTGAAGCCACATAACGTCTCTTACGAGTGATGCTCTACAGATTTAGGAGAGAAGAGGTACAAGTCATTTCAGGCATGCAAATCTTAGACTTTACCTTTTGCTAACCTTCCTGTTTTTATCTACATTCCTCTCCTTCACTTGTCACCATGAACCCTTCTTGAGACGGTTCACCCTCAAGTGATCTCCAACTGCCTACTGAATGAATACCCTCTTGCTTGCTATAATGCTTTTAAAGATGCAACCCTTCTGGACATTTGCCTCTTTCCAAGGCTTCCAAAAAGTTTAATGTCTTTCCATTATCCAGTATCTGATTCCTTTCTATTTTGCTATCTATTCCAGGGCTAAAGACTGATATCCTTCTGTAAGGCAGGAAAGTATCCCCAAAGTGCTAATCAGAGGGTCAGGGATCCTAAAAGTTAGGAGGATAGATTAAAAAATTTCCATTTTTTCTGCGGTACCTGGGTAGCTCAGTCAGTTGAGCGTCTGACTGTTGATTTCAGCTCAAGTCATGATCTCAGGGTGGTGCTATCAAACCCTGAGTTGGGCTCTGAGTTCAATGGGGAATCTGCTTCTCTCCTTCTCCCTTTCTCTCTACTCCTGCCCCCATTCGATCCCTCTCTCTCTCATATAAATAAATCTTAAAAAAAAATTTCCACGTTTTCTCAGAATTATTATTGTTCATCCAGCACTAAAGACACACGAAGGGAGATACAAACTTCAGACTTCAAGTGAACACTAGTTCAACTTATTATTAAATTATTTCAATTTATTGTATGAATTACTGAATAATTATTACTCAATAATTTAACCCTGAGTTCAGTTTAACAGAGCGTGATAATAGAGAATGCGGGGGATTACACAAACAGCTCAGGAAGGTGCCCAAATAGTGGTGGGCCAGGTAAGTTTAATTTGACACAGGGCCTTTGATATTTCTGAAGTCTGATCTTCTACCTAAATGGTAAATATCTACTGACTGACTGACTGACTGATCTAGAACTGACTATGTGCATGACACCATTATGAAGAGCGTCATGCGGTTACTAGGCTTTGCTACTTTTAGGGCTGGATTAGTTATGATCTAGAGTTAGGGACTGAAGACATTTAAAATTTTTCCCCATGACTGGTTCCACCAGTACTTACTGGCAAAAAGCTCCACTCCTGAGTCTTGGGGTCATATTTCTCTACCACATCGATGGGAGACTGCTGGCTTCCGAAGCCCCCAACCACCAGAAGCACTTCATTGGCTCCTGAGGACAAAGACAGAAAAAGACAGATAGGTTACTTCACCACCCCAGGGGAAACATAAGTAGAAACAGTTGTAGGATTTTGTTTTATGGGGCACAGAGAAGCAATCTGAAATAGGACATTCATCATAAGGCTGCCTAACAGGAAATAATTTCTTTCTGAGGCTCTAGCTCTTGAGGACCTGGATCTCAAATTTCAAGACAACATTAAAACTCCAGAAGGCAAACTTAAACACACCACACCATTCCAACCTATCTAGATGACTCTGGTTGACGTAAGTGAGGTTCTCAGTGAAGGTAGGGGGCTAAAGGAACTCCTATCCCTTCTCAGCCTGTAAAACTCAAAATGGGAGTTTTTTGTAATGGGAAAAGAACATTCTCCTAACATTGTCTCAAGAAAGTTGGAAGTTACAGTTTAAGAAGGCATGGATGAAGGCATGGATGAAGAAGATGGATGAAGGCAGCCGTGTAACCGAGCCACCCAGGCGCCCCCAAGTGATAGATTTTTAAAAATCTCTTTAATTTTTCCAATTTAGCCAACTTTATGACTACGTTCCCTGCCAATTCATCACAACTACCAGGTAACCATAACAGTAGTCTTTTAACGAGACTCTTTTTTTCTATTATTTCCCCAAAGAAGGTATTTTGATGGCCTTTATATCTTCCCCTCTCCCATAAGGCCTTCTTGTGATAAAATATCTCCTCCTTGGGGCGCCTGGGTGGCTCAGTCATTAAGCGTCTGCCTTTGGCTCAGGTCATGATGCCAGGGTCCTGGGATCGAGCCCTGCATCGGGCTCCCTGCTCCACAGGAAGCCTGCTTCCCCTCTCCCACTCCCCCTGCTTGTGTTCCCTCTCACTGTGTCTCTGTCAAATAAATAAAGAAAATCTTAAAAAAGAAAAAAACTCCTCCTTTGCCTCTTTCCAAAGAGCAAAGTCTTTTCAGAAAATCCTCTGTACATGTGCTCTACTAGAGCTCATGAAGAGAACGGAGCATTTTGTCCAATTCAATTATTAGAAGGGCACTGAGGAGATCAAAGTGATCTTATAAGTAACTGGACTTGAAAGAGCAAATGGAGTACCTTTAAACTGACAAAAACCCATACATTCCCATGAATAATGGCTCTGAAAATTATAATCAATGGCTACTATAATCACTAGGGAAAAGCAAAACTACTTTATAATGCTCAATAGGAAGTACACCACCATCACCGATGAAGTATTCTTGCTAAAAAAAAAAAAAAAAAAATTAAACCCGAATCTTGAAACTAACCAAGTCACTAGTCTAACCACCAGTTTATAGGCAATTCAGGGGACAGAAGAACATACTAAATGACACTACACAGATGCAATCAGCAAAATCCAGAGTATGGGAAATTCTACAAGTCAAACAGCCTGGTTTCTTCAACAAATAAATTGCAAGGGAATACCAAAGTAGAAGGAAAAAACCTATGGATTAAAAGAGACTAAAGAGAGATAGGAACTCAGTGCAACATATGGACCTTATCTGGATCATGACTGGGGCAACATAAGTGTTCAAAAACAAAAACTGGGAAATATGAACATGTCCTTGATATCTGATGAAAATAACTGGGTGTGGGTTTTCTTTGAAGAGTGATAAAGGCATTTTAGATGCATTTTTAAAAAGCTCATCTTTCAGGCGCCTGGGTGGCTCAGTTGGTTAAGCGACTGCCTTTGGCTCAGGTCATGATCCTGGAGTCCCTGGATCGAGTCCCGCGTCGGGCTCCCTGCTCGGCGGGGAGTCTGCTTCTCCCGCTGACCCTCTCCCCTCTCATGTGCTCTCTCTCAAATAAATAAAATCTTTAAAAAAAAAAAAAAAAAGCTCATCTTTCAGAGATACATATGAAAGCATAATATATATGGATGGAATTATATCCCCTAGATTTGCTTCAAAATAGGCCATGAGTTGATAATTGTTGAAACTGGATGATGGGTATGGGAAAATCATTATTCTGTTTCTGTGTGTTTGAACATGAACCCTTAAGTTTAACCTCATTAAAGAGGGCATCTGTCTTGTGTACTTGCCAAATAAGTGGACCCTTTTCTAAGGTGAGCCAGTAAGCAGGTCTCAGGTGTCAGTTCCTTTTAGAAAAGCAAAGCATTTGAACAAAGGGTCCTTTCATATTATGCTTATTTGTGCATAAAATTCCTTCAAGCTGGGAGAGGCCATGACCACTAAGTATTTGCTTCTTCCTTGGGAGCATTATTCCCCTATTTGTCCCTTTCTTACGGCATCTCTTCTCTCCCTTTAACTTGAATAGAGAAGATAAAAGCAATCCTATCCAAACACATTTCCCTTTATAGACAAATATGATGCAAGGGCACGCCTGGGTGGCTCAGCTGGTTAAGTGTCTGACTCTTGATTTTGGCTCAGGTCATGGTCTCAGGGTTGTGAGATTGAGCCCTTTGTCAGGCTCCATGCTGTGTGTGGGGCATGCTTAAGATTCTCTCTCCCTCTGCCCTCCCCCCCAAATAAAAAAAAATAATAGATCTAACTCTTTTTTAAAAAAGTGATGCTAGGGCGCCTGGGTGGCTCAGTTGGTTAAGCGACTGCCTTCGGCTCCCGTCATGATCCTGGAGTCCCGGGATCGAGTCCCACATTGGGCTCCCTGCTCAGCAGGGGGTCTGCTTCTCCCTCTGCCCTCTTCCCTCTCGTCCTCTCTGTCTCTCATTCTCTCTCTCTCAAATAAATAAAATCTTTAAAATAAATAAATAAATAAATAAATAAATAAATAAATAAATAAATAAATGATGCTAATGAATGATATCTGTATGGCTAAGACAATGAAAATTCTCCGCAACTGAGAGGTATTTTATATGCTTTGCACATTTAAAAAATTTCCATTGATTTTCAGCTGTAATTCCTGTTGCTTTATGTAATTCCCAGAAACAAAAAATAACAACAACAACAAAAAACCGAGGGAAAAAAACCACTCTTTCTTGATAATGTGATTTCACTCAGGCAGCTTTTGAAGGATGCGGACATAAAAAAAAAAAAAAAAGGAAATATTTAGATTATGCTACAAAACCCAGAGAACTGACAGCACTTCCTCTTATTTCAAAGTTTCTCAGTAAACATTCTGGTAACTCTATGTCTACAGTGGGACTGGGACAAAGGTCTCAGTGTGAGTCACTCAGTTATTTTATGGTTCTAAATGCCCGGGGACCTAGACCATTGGTTCCAAAATTTCTTTGCCACGAAGGACTCTTTTCATTACTTTCCCAAGAGAGACCTTGTGTTCTCAAAGACTAGCTACTAACTTCCCCATTGCTGCTACATGTAAGTGCCAACAGAGCTTTTAAGTGTGAGAACACCACTGTTTTCACAATGAACAGATACACTTTTCATCAATTCTGATGTCTTTATTTTTTTAAGATTTTATTTATTATTAGTATTATTTTTAGAATTAGGCATAGAACACAGAGCTTTTTTTTTTTTTTTTAAAGATTTTATTTATTTATTTGACAGAGAGAGACACAGCGAGAGAGGGAACACAAGCAGGGGGAGTGGGAGAGGGAGAAGCAGGCTTCCCGCCGAGCAGAGAGCCCGATGCAGGACTTGATCCCGGGACCCTGGGATCATGACCTGAGCCGAAGGCAGACGCTTAACGACTGAGCCACCCAGGTGCCCCAATTCTGATGTCTTTATTTAGCTTTGTCTAGCATGAAAGCCATTTTTTTTTTGAAAATTTGAGAAATAACTCGAGAATTAGTATAATTGTCATCCTTACTTGCATATTAACCCCCATTGGTTAAAAAGATTTAGAAACTGTATTTCTTGTGATTATAAAACATAAATAAAATACATGCTCACCGCTAAAAGAACTTAGAAAATATAGACAAGTATTATGAAAAATGTTTACCCATAATTCCACAACACGAAGACACACCAAAATATAAGAGATTATTCCCTCCCAGCCTTGTTTCTAAATATTTGTAAAACATTTATTATTTTTTTTTATGATTTTATTTTATTTTATTTTATTTTTTTTTAAGATTTTATTTATTTTTTGACAGAAAGACAGGGAGAGAGGGAACACAAGCAGGGGGAGCGGGAGAGGGAGAAGCAGGCTTCCCGCGGAGCAGGGAGCCCGATGCGGGGCTCAATCCCAGGACCCCGGGACCATGACCTGAGCCGAAGGCAGACGCTTAACGACTGAGCCACCCAGGTGCCCCTTTATTTTATTTTTTAAGTAATCTCTACATCCACAACCAATTTGGAGCTTGAACTCACAACCCTGAGATCAAGAGCTGCCCCCCCCACCTGTTTATATTTAATTTTCCCCAGATATTAACAAAATCTTTTAATACAGAATTTTATTATTCTTAGGCATTTCAGGTGTTTGTAATTTGGGACTATAAACAATCACATATAGTCCTGTGATAAATATGCTTGAATATGAAATCCCAGTTATTTTCTTAAGACAGAAATGGGAGGGCTGCTGGGGTGAAGACCATGAACTTTATTTTTTATTTTTTTAAGATTTTATTTATTTATTTGACAGAGAGAGATACAGTGAGAGGGAACACAAGTAGGGGGGGTGGGAGAGGGAGAAGCAGGCTTCCTGCTGAGCAGGGAGCCCGATGCGGGACTCAATCCCAGGACCCTGGGATCATGACCAGAGCTGAAGGTGGATGCTTAATGACTGAGCCACCCAGGCGCCCCAGAACATGAACTTTAAAAAAATCTTTTAATAAACATTATAAGACGGTGCCTGGAAGCCTGCTTCTCCCTCTCCCACTCCCCCCGATTGTGTTCATGCTCTCGCTGTGTCTCTCTGTCAAATAAATAAATAAAATCTTAAAAAAATATATATATATACATTATAAGAGGAGTGCCTGGGTGGCTCAGTTGGTTAAGTGTTTGCCTTCTGCTCAGGTCATGATTGCAGGGTCCTGGAATAGAGTTCCAAGATGGGCTCCCTGCTCAGCATGGAGTCAGCTTCTCCATCTGCCTCGACCACACCCTCCTCCCCCGCTTGTACGTGTGCTCACTCTCCCTCTCTCAAATAAATCTTTTTTAAAAAAATATACATTATGGGGGCGCCTGGGTGGCTCAGTTGGTTAAGTGACTGCCTTCGGCTCAGGTCATGATCCTGGAGTCCCTGGATCGAGTCCCGCATCGGGCTCCCTGCTCAGCGGGGAGCCTTGCTTCTCCCTCTCCCACTCCCCCCTGCTTGTGTTCCCTCTCTCGCTGTGTCTTTCTCTGTCAAATAAATAAATAAAATCTTTAAAAAATATATATATATACATTATGGCATTGCCTGGGTGGCTCAGTCGTTAAGCGTCTGCCTTTGGCTCAGGTCATGATCCCGGGTCCTGGGACTGAGGCCCGCGGGAAGCCTGCTTCTCCCTCTCCCACTCCTCCTGCTTGTGCTCCCTCTCTCTCTGTGTCTCTGTCAAATAAATAAAATCTTTAAAAAAATATATATATATATACACACACACACACACACACACACATTGTAAGATTACTTTCTGAGGTTTAAACCAATTTATATTGCCATCAACACTATAAAGTTGCCAATTCATCCTACTCTCTGTAGCTGGATATTGTTTTCTAATCTCTGGTGCTTTGGTAGACAAAAAATTGTATTTATTGTTTTAATTCTTACTTTATTACTAATAAGACTCTATTAGTAATCAGGTTGAATTTCCCCCTTTATATTTAGTAGTGAATTGTATTCCCTCCTCTGTGAATTGTACACTCAAGTCTTCAGTGTTTCTCTCATGTATTTTTATTATGAGCTCCTTATATATAAATGAGTTTAACTCTTTGCCGTGGTTGTAGCAAATCTACTTTCCTATTTGTCTTACAATGTTATGCACGATTTTTATTTAGTCAAATACACTGACCTTTTCCTTTGTGATTTCTTCTATTACTTTGTGCCTAGAAAGTCTTCCTCTCCTGGGAGAGCTCCTAAATGTTTCAATGTCTTCAGACCCTAAGTTGGGGACAACTACTCTAACAAACTAATGTGAAAAGAGCTAGTGAAAGGAATGACTAGAAGGAAGCCTGTTTGTTCTCTGCCAATGAATTGGGGGTGGGGGGGAACTTGTTAAGTTAGGTTTTCTCTTTATCATGAAGAAAGTATGTCTAAAACACCTGACAAAAACAGTATGAAAAACCACATTAGTAGAACCGAGGCATCTTGACAATGCCATTGTCATTACTGGGGGCAGGAGTGCGAGTGGACTGTGGTGTGCTATTTGAGGACTAGAGCAGATAGCCTGCAGGACTGCTAACATCTCAGGTTTCAGAGACTACATTTCCACATGTATTGATCTTTAGCTCAGAAAAGGAGACTGTGACAAATTAGAAATGGCAATTTCCACTGCATCTTCTGTGAAAAAGTAATAGGTAAAAGGTAAATAACTAAGACAAAATCCCCACCCATTATTTGGCATGCTATTTTTATGTAGCTGTAAATTTAATTTTCTAATGCTGTACACAGAAGAATCATTATTCTGGTAGCTGGTTTAGCTATCTCTGTGAAGAGAAATGGTAGAAGACATGATGGTAGGAACAATTTACTTTTTTTTTTTTTTTGACAGAGAGAGACACAGCGAAGAGAGGGAACACAAGCAGGGGAAGTGGGAGAGGGAGAAGCAGGCCCCCCGCAAAGCGGAGAGCCCGATGCGGGGCTCGATCCCAGGACCCTGGGATCATGACCTGAGCCGAAGGCAGACGCTTAACGACTGAGCCACCCAGGCACCCCGGAACAATTTACTTCTAAGGCACTGACAAGGAGATGCTAAAATAAGAATCTAGTTGGAGACAGCTTCAGAATTTCTTTTACTGGCGCTTCTGAAAAATAATCTCATAACTCTAAGGGCATGTAGAATCATATTCTAATCTCTCAAGATCTTCTCCGTATTTCTAACGTTTCTACACTGACTTACATTGACATATAGTACTTATGCCATTAAAAAAATATAGGGGGCAAATCATCATTCTACTTAAAGCGATCAGTAAACAGCTTATTTATCAATTAACACCTTCATATTCATGAGTCCACAGTTAGATAAAAGTAGACAATAACAAAAAGAAAACACCACCCCATAGATCATTTATAACCTCCAATAGTGGAATAGGGAGGACAGGAAACGGAAGTGAGGTAATATCTGAGTACTTACTACCTGTCAGCCACAATGCCAGGCATCTTATATATACTATCCAATTTAATCTCGACAACAACCAACTGAAATAAGATATTAGTATCCTCATTTTATTTTATTTTTAAGATTTTATTTATTTATTTGACAGAGACACAGCGAGAGAGGGAACACAAGTAGAGGGAATGGGAGAGGGAGAAGCAGGCTTCCCGCTAAGCAGGGAGCCCGATGTGAGGGTCAATCCCAGGACCCTGGGATCATGACCTAAGCTGAAGGCAGACGCTTAACTGAGCCACCCAGGGACCCCTAGTGTCTTCATTTTAGAGGCAGAAGCACAGGCTCAGATAAATTGATATCTTACCCAAGGTCATACAACGGGTCACTGGTGGAGCTGTGATTTGAACCTAAATCTCTTTGCTAAAATAACAGCTAATGTATACAGCACTTGTCATGTGCCAAGAACTGTCCTAAGCCTTTTACATAAATTACTTCATTTACTCTTCATAACAACCTTGGAGGTAAGAACTGTGATGATTCGCACTTTACAAAGGAGGCAACTGAAACACAGAGAGGATTTTTTCTGCCAAAGTTAATATACCTAGTAAGTGGTAAGCTGGGATCTGCACCCACACAGTCTGGCTCCAGAGTCAAGGCTCTGAACTACTGCATGTCACCACCAAAACCCCTGTACTTTCAACTATGCTGCGCTCACGTACTTTATACCATACTGCTGCTTTTCCTTCCTCTTTTCATTCCAGAATGTCAAACTACTACATGGCATTTGAAATAATTTCTAATTCACAAGACTCCAAAAATAGTGAAATAAAACTATTATTTATTTAAAAAGTATTCTATTTATTTATTTGAGAGAGAGAGAGACAGAGGGAGCACAAGCAGGGGGAGTGGCAAGAAGAGGGAGAGGGAGAAGCAGGCTCTCCACTGAGCAGGGAGCCCAATGAGGGGCTGGATCCCAGGACCCTGGGATCATGACCTGAGCTGAAGGCAGACGCTTAACCGACTGAGCCACCCAGGCGCCCCAGTGAAATAAAATTATAAATTACACTGCCTAATACTTGACAATTTAGAAAGTGTTTTTACATACTCTATTCCACTTAATCCTCTAAACAGTTATGTGAAATAGATAGGGAAGGTATCCTTGGTTTGTAGGAGAGCTCAGGGTGGTGAAGGGACTTGTCCAAGATGACACTATTACTAAAAGGTTAAAAACAGGTCTGGAACAGGTCTTTGTACTTCTTACAGAATGTTCTTTTCAACTACATCATGCCACCTGGCACGGGGCAGTTGAAATATATCCCTTCTTTCTGCCAAGATGCCAGCTTACCTAGACGAGCCCTCGTCCTGGGTCCCTGCATCTGACTTCGCAGTTCAGGCCTCAGATGAAACTTCTTTGCTTCATCAACTAGATCCCTGCACTGTAAACTACAGCGGATGAAAGGCTGAAACACAGCAGAGAGCAGAGTGAGCCACAGGGGCCATGTCTTTAATATACGAGTATAAATGGCACACATAAGAAATAACTTTTTGATCTAGAAAACCAGTTCCAGAAGGGCTGCTGGTAATAACTATGCAGTGGGTTTCCACAAATTAAGAAAATAGACAATATTACATGGTTCAAAAATCAAATGACATAAAAAGATATAGTGAGAAGTATTCTCTATCCGCCTCAGCACTAGGCATTAACTATTTTTGTTTGTACATCCTTCCAGTGATTACACAAACACAAGTAGGAAATAGCTAATAAAAATTTTAAGGGAACACCAAAAGGCTTCTGTTAATTCCTGGGATGACAGGAAGAAGTAAATCTTGTCTGAAATAATTTCCCCAAGGTTCACAGCACCGTCACGATGCCTCTGTCTCCTCCTGACAGAGCTCTGTACTGGGCATCTCTCCGTCACATCCCTAGATTCACTCCCCATCCTTCTCCACTCTGTTCGCTGGCTTAGGAGACTGGCCTACATGAAGTATGTCGTAGGGTCCCTAGGCCCTCTGCCTTCTGGCTGGGCTCAACCAATGAGGAGCTCTAGAAGAGCTCAGAAGGAGAAGGGGAGTGAGGCCAGGCTCCCTCACTGCAGGGTGAGTGGTGAATTGGGATTTCAGTCTCCTGAGTCGGACTCGAGAGTCTGCATTATGAATCACAATATAACGAACAGACACGACGGCTATATGAGTTGTTAGAAATTACAAATATGAGAAAAAGTTTGACACGTGACACTAACCAGCCTGCAACTTTTCTAATATGACCTGGAAAACTGTATGTAATTAACTCCCCAAGAGGTCTGGGGCTGGGCCAAAAGAAGGAATGCATTCACTGACCTGGGCTTTATCTATATGTTAAACAGCAGTATTCGCCCAAAGTATGGTCAGGGAAATCACTCCAATTGTCAGCCTAACTACAGATCTCTATGCAATAAAAACTGCTAAACTACTGGCACCATGATTTAGCATTAGGATTTACTAAGATCCTTCTTGCTGGGGTAAGTCACTGAACCCTTGCCCGCCCACAGGTAGTTTCCCCTCTGCTAGGTGAAAAACAACTCCCTCAAGGGGAGTTTATATGTCCCGTCTTCCCACTCCCTCATACCCCCATTAGGCACTTATCATCTGCCTCCTGCTTTGATCACCAACCTTTTTTCACTTCCTTTCTGATCCACTTCCTTTTTGATCTAATTTTAACTTAGAAGGTTTAATTCTTTTTTCTAATTTCTTCACTCTGAATAAGTTCATTATTCACATTATACTATAATCAGTGATATATATGGTAAAAATTATGAAAACATACCACACACAAATAACTTGGGTTGGAAAAACACTTTTATAAATAAACACAGTATAACCCAAATTGATATTAAAATGCATCAAACTACTTTCATGTTGATATCATGAGAGGTCAAAAATAGACTTGATAAGCAAAGCATCTTTTTCAGGGCAATTTGGAACAACTTATGTTTGATGGAGAAGGGGACATTTATCATCTCATGTTGCTTATGTAAAACACATAAGGACATATAAAACAAAAAGACAAGAAAACAGAAAATTAAACCACAGATTTCCATTTCCAGAAGGCTGACTTGCCAAGCAATTGTGTGGAGACCACCTAGCACCATCCTCTCTGGCATTCCTAGACAGGCTACCTTGGGAGGCTCTGTGCCTATATTAAAATAACCAATTTTGAGTACACAATACTAAGTTCCAAGAGATACTCAAGGTTTTGGATCCTGTGTGTTTTGCATGCCTTACCTCAGCATCTATTACGTCTGTGATGTACCTGGGGGTCAGCAGGGGCATCCGGACGTACTGTAGCAGGTCAGGCAAGGATTCTTCTCGCTCCTTCTTGGCATGCTTCACCCAGTTGATGACAGCTTCAAAGACCGGCTCTTCAGAATCCACCTACAAGTGTATAATTACACATCATGGAACCCTGCTTTTCCAATTATCTCACAATCTCAGAAAGCAACTGTGCTTACTTTCTCCTCCCTGTTCCCCATCCCCTACACCATTATTTCCTCCCTTCCAGAAATAGCTAAGCTCTTGGGAAAACAACCCTTGTCCCACCACAATTCACTAAGACCAGCTAAAGAGCTGCAGTAAAATTGGTTAAAAAAATCTGAGATAGTGCCTAATAAACCATTAGTCACAAGTTGGCTTTTACTTCGGAAGTTTTTCCATTCCTGAATTTTTTTTTTCTGGCCATTTTTGAAACTTTACAGGGGGAGGAGGAATCTGTTGCCCTATTCAAAACTGGCTTTTTTTTTTTTTTTTTTTCAAGTAAGCTCTATGCTCAATGTGGGGCATGAACTCACGACCCTGAGATCAAGAGCTGCTTGCTCTACCAACTGAACCAGGCAGGCACCCCCAAAATTGGCTCTAAAAATAACTTGTGTTCAAGGAAAGAAACAACAAATGTTGGAGAGGATGTGGAGAAAGGGGAACCGTCTTACACTGTTGGTGAGAATGCAAGTTGGTACAGCCACTTCGGAAAACAGTGTGGCGGTTCCGCAAAAAGTTAAAAATAGAGCTACCCTATGACCCAGCAATTGCACTACTGGGCATTTACCCCAAAGATACAGATGTAGTGAAAAGAAGGGCCACATGCACCCCAATCCAGTGTTCATAGCAGCAATGCCACAAGAGCCAAACTGTGGAAGGAGCCAAGATGCCCTTCAACAGATGGGTCAGAAAGGCCTCCCTGTAAAAGAACTACATTTCAATCTGATGGATGAGTAGCAGTTAGCCAGGAAGAGTGAGAAAGTACTCCAAGGCAAACAGAAGAGCACATGCAAAAACCCTAGAGCTGTACTGTCCAATATGGTAGCCACTAGCCATGTATGGCTATGTATATTAACATTAATTAAAATTAAGTTAGGGGCGCCTGGGTGGCTCAGTTGGTTAAGCGACTGCCTTCGGCTCAGGTCATGATCCTGGAGTCCTGGGATCGAGTCCCACATCAGGCTCCCTGCTCAGCAGGGGGTCTGCTTCTCCCTCTGCCCTCTTCCCTCTCGTGGTCTCTGTCTCTCATTCTCTCTCTCTCAAATAAATAAATAAAAAATCTTAAAAAAAAAAAATAATAAAATAAAATTAAGTTAAATTAAAAACTCAGCTTCTCAGTCACACTAGCCACATTTCAAGTGCTCAACAGCCCCACAAGGCAGGTGATTAGCAAACCGGACGGCATAACTATCGATCCTCCCCATCTTCACATGATGGTCTACTGGACAGCACTGTCCTAGAGCAAAAATCAACAGACTACAGGCTGGTGTAGTAGAATGAATGAGAAAGGGGAAGAATGGTAAAAGATCAAGCTGAAGAGGTAACCAAGGGCCAGCTCACATCGGGCTCCATGCTCAGCAGGGAGCCTGCTTCTCCCTCTGCCTGCCTGCCTACTTGTTATCTCTCTTTCTCTGTGGCAAATAAATAAATAAAAATCTTCAAAAAAAAAAAAGTCAGTAGGGAAAGACAAAAAGAAAAAGTTGGCTAAAATTTTGATAAGAAACATTCTGAAGACTATTACATTACATAAAAATGCTAGTTTTAATAAAATAAATTAGTTATCATTGCATTTACAAAAGTGTATTATAGGATTTCTTTAGCAAATTCCTTCTATAGCACTTAGAAAATTCATCAGACTTTGATTCTTTTTAATATTAAAATGAGGTGCCACTAACTTCTGGGAATCCACTAATTCAAAATTCATTTTTTATTATTATCTAAGGAGAGTGAGAGGAAAAAATGAACTCTTAGCCTTCCTAGAGAATTGGATTTCTCCTGACTGGAGGAAACAAAACCTAACAGATGGACTTTTATCCTACCACTTGGCTCTGCTAGGCATTTTCTAGGGGCTACTAACCAGAGAATTCAACCTCTGGGAATTAATGCCTTGGGCTTCAGAGACATCTATAGCCCTATATTGGACTTCTCACTCCAATTGTCAGCCTAACTACAGATCTCTATGCAATAAAAACTGCTAAACTACTGGCACCATGATTTAGCATTAGGATTTACTAAGATCCTTCTTGCTGGGGTAAGTCACTGAACCCTTGCCCGCCCACAGGTAGTTTCCCCTCTGCTAGGTGAAAAACAACTCCCTCAAGGGGAGTTTATATGTCCCGTCTTCCCACTCCCTCATACCCCCATTAGGCACTTATCATCTGCCTCCTGCTTTGATCACCAACCTTTTTTCACTTCCTTTCTGATCCACTTCCTTTTTGATCTAATTTTAACTTAGAAGGTTTAATTCTTTTTTCTAATTTCTTCACTCTGAATAAGTTCATTATTCACATTATACTAAGTTTTGTCTTTTTGTCTGTCTCTACCACTACACACTGTGAATTACTGAAAACTGTATCTTCCTCACTTTTGGATCCATAGCACCTGGCAAATATAGTTTGAGAATATCTACTGCTGTAGAGTAGAAACTCTCAATAAATGTTTGTAAAATGAGTGAATGAGTAATAGAGAAGTGTTCTACAGAAATCTACTTTATTTCCAATTTCTGCTTATTCCACACACTCTTTAATAGTGACTCTTGGGACACCTGGGTGGCTCAGTTGGTTAAGCGTCTGCCTTTGGCTTGGGTTATGATCCCAGGGTCCTGGGATCGAGCCCCACATGAAGCTCCCTGCTCAGCGGGGAGCCTGCTTCTCCCTTTGCCTGCTGCTCCCCCTGCTTGTGCTCTCTTTCTCTCTCTCGCTCTCTGGCAAATAAATAAATAAAATCTTAAAAAATAAAGAGTCGGGGCGCCTGGGTGGCTCAGTCATTAAGCGTCTGCCTTCAGCTCGGGTCATGATCCCAGGGTCCTGTGATCGAGCCCCGCATTGGGCTCTCTGCTCAGCAGGAAGCCTGCTTCTCCCTCTCCCACTCCCCCTGCTTGTGTTCCCTCTCTCGATGTCTCTCTCTGTCAAATAAATAAAATCTTTAAAAAAAAATAGTCAGTTGTAAGACATCAGAGAAACATTAAAAAAAAAAAAAATAGTGACTCTTAACCACTGGGATCATACACTGAGGAAGATGGCTCACTCCCTCCCATAAAACTGCAAATAAATTTGGCATATAATTTCAGGGCATTGAGTGAAACCTTTGGAGCCAATATTGACATTTGATTAAGACGCCCTGGTACAAAAACACAGTAATTCCACCTTGTTTTTCCCAAGTTCTGTAATGGCCCAGTCTTAAAGAAACCCGAATACCAAGCCAAATTTGTACCTGAATTTCATCACACTTGATTAACTTTTCCACCTCTCCTTGACTTAGAAGAATGAATTCTTCATGCTGTACCACTTCAGGAAAATGCTTCTGGCTAAAAACCTCAGCTGCTTGCATCAGGTCAACACAATTGTGAGTTTCAGCAAAATCCCTGATACCCAGGCAATTGGAGGGGTCCAACTGACTTTCTAAGAACTCACAGCAGGCTTGCTTCACACCTAGGACAAACACAGACAATGAACACTTCACGGTACTTGACCAGGTGTGAACTGGTCTACATTCTTGGATTGAGATGTCTTCTCTACACGGTAACAGCAGAATCCTGGCTCAACACCTGGTGATCAGATTAGAAATTTTATGCTTAAGAAATTCAAATGCAATTTCTGTCTTATGTGCTATGTGACCTTCACAGAAGGCCTTTACAACTATGTGTCTGTTTCAGCTTTAAAATAAGTATAGCAAGACAAATTGTTTCGATGGACACTGGCACAATTAAACAAAAATACCTATAAAACTCTTGGGAATCAAGCTTTTATAAAACCAATCACAATTTAACATAATGTACTTAAATTTCTACTCCATATGCAAACTTACTGACAGACTCCTATGAAGGAAAAGTAAAAGATACTAACACCAATCTCTTATTTCTCTAATTGACAAGTTCAGAGTATAAATCTAACTTTACAGCTGTGCACTAATGCAAAAGCTTCACACTGTTTTCAATCATGTATTAAAAAGTGAAAATTTTCAACCATGTGTTTGGAAAAACTGAAAATCATAGAAACATCAGAGCAGGTTAAGAAAGACGGACTGGGAACAGCAATATTTAATCTTGTGAAAACATTATATACTTTCATTTTTGTATGTCAATTTAAATTTTCAACAGGTAATTTACATGATTGAAAAATTAGAAGTACAAAAGGGTTTGCCATGAATAATCCCCCAGGCTCCCTATCCACCTGGCCATCTAGTTCCTTTCCATGTAGCCTATGAATAATATCAGTCTCCTGTGTTTCCCTGTAGAGTTACTGTGTATATATATGTAAGAAAATGCATCTATAATCCCCTCTTCTATTTTTCAAAAAACATAAAAGGTGTAAATGCTCTCTTCTGAAGAGCCACTCACTCACATGTGGAGAGGCTCTTTGATACTGCGATTGAAATCTGATCTTCTGTGCCACAGGCAGTAAACATGAGTGCCCATGGTCTGTCTCCATAATTTTTAGGATTAAGTTTACATCACGAATTTTAAACATTTCCAAGGCTACCTTGGCACGACAGCAACTTTAACATCCGTACCTTTCAGCTGGAGCAGACAGGCTGCAGGGAGCAGTTCCTGCACGTTCTCCACTGTCACGTGTACGGTTTCAGTGTACACAAAGTCCAACAGAATTTCCATGGTAGAAGCAGTTAAACCTTGAATATCAACATAAGGTTTCCCCTTCTCTGAAAGCTGAAAATTCAAAGGGTATGAAATAATGGTGGTTATAATTCCACGAGATGAAGGCAGAATCTCATATCCAAGAGCTTGAAGAGGTGTTAATATTAATTGAATACACAGCTTTAAAAAATTATGGTCTAATTTGTTTGATTTATATAAAGCAAATATGGCATATATTTGTAGCTTTTCAAATTGGGGGCAGCTGTATGTAACCCAAGAGCACACAATGAGGTGACACCTTGGAATATCAATTTTACCAGTGAATAATTTAAAACTCTGCTTTCATAATAAAACATAGATCTATTACAGAATAGAATGCAAAAATTCCATGAACATACTACTGGTATCCCTCAGCTTTTAAAACACAAAATTTCAACGAAATTTCATGCTTGTAGAGGACCCCGTGGCTTACAGCTCCAGACCCTCCAAGATTACTCAGTATTGTTCTATTTGTCCTTAGACTACATTTGGCAATGACGAAACATGCAAGTCATCTTAAGGGGCCTTCTACTGTGACACTGAACATAACTAGTTTGATACTTTTTTTTTTTTTAAAGATTTTATTTATTTGACAGAGAGAGACAGTGAGAGAGGGAACACAAGCAGGAGGAGTGAGAGAGGGAGAAGCAGGCTTCCCACTGAGCAGGGAGCCCGATGCGGGGCTTGATCCCAGGACCGTGAGATCATGACCTGAACCGAAGGCAGACGCTTAACGACTGAGCCACCCAGGCACCCCTGTTTGATACTTTTTCAAGATAATGGATCGAGTCTGTTTCAGGATTACTAATTGTTAGTGGCTTATTTAGTCCAGAATATATCCTTAGAGTAATGGGTATCGAAGAGGCCAGATAATCATAGAAAACTGTTGACTAAGAGTGGAAATCTTCAGTTTTACAGAACAGTAAACTACCTGAAAATTGATTGCCTTATGAAACTTTTATTACATCTGAACCTTAGTTAGAAATTCAAATTATTCACAAAACTCCAGTGCACTTTCATTACAAACTAAATGTCTTTATCAGCTTTGATTTCTCCATCAGCCCAAAATAGTAATAAAAAAGTATTCTCTACCAAGGCCAATAACAAAATCAATCCCTAACATTAAAAATGTCACTAGTACATCATTTTGGAAAAATGTTTTATTAACATTGCACATAGTAAAGATATTTGCAAACAGAAATATGTAAGTACATCTATTCCAGAAATTTCTTATTCAACAAACCATATTCTCATCAAATAACTATTTTTTAAATATGAAAATATTTCACTATTTATTGACTCAGAGCAACTTATAGTATCATTTCACATTTATATTTGCTTTATAATTTTTCCAAGTGCTTCTTATTTACTATTATTTCACCTAATTCTCACAGCAACCTGGTAAGGATTTAGAGGTCTGGTATTATTCCCATTCAAAGAAGTTATGTGACTTAACAAAGGTATCTTAACTAGTAAGAGACAGCTAAAACTCAGGTCCTTTCGTCTCACTCAAATGATCTTTCCGTTGGACCACATTCGAGGAGCGTTTCAGGGCCGGAAGAGAATAATGAAACCCTAATGTAGTTCAACTACTTTATTTTAAAGATCAACCCAGTGAAGTTAGATGGTTGTCATGGTTCACGCAGCATTGCTAACAGAACTGAGCCTAGGACCCAGATCTCTGGACTCTCTCCTTTGTATCAATTATTCTTAAAAATAAAGACAAAACCATCTGGCATTTTCTTGCCTAATACCAGTTTTTAAAGAAAGACTATAAAATAATCCCTGATGAGAAAAAAGAATTCTTTTATAGAACTCCATACCAATTTCAATGTGCAGAGAGAGTAAAGACAGACTAATTTTCCTCAAGCTGACAAAGAACAGGATGTACAATATATAATTAGTAGTCAGCAGTCCTGATCCATTAGTACTTCATGCTCAGCAGCTGCTGAGAGAACCTTCCTTACCCAGTTAAATGCCAACTGCTTCTGATGCTCTCGGGCAGATAGTTTTTCTGGAGGACAATATAGGACATGATCTATGATGTTATATTACACAAGAGCATTTTAAAATTAGCCTGAATTAGTAGGAATGATCTGTCAGGTTTCCATGTTTTTCCTACCAGCCATGTGACCGAGCATTGGCTCAGAGCATCATGAACTCTTTGGCTTTGAAATTATAGAATATAAAAAAATCCACGTATCAGAGGCTGAAGAAGCACAGTAGTTAAAATTTGTATAAAGCGAGAGAAAGACATGTATCATATGATCTCACTGATATGAGGAATTCTTAATTGCAGGAAACAAACTGAGGGTTGCTGGAGTGGGGGGTGGGGTGGGAGGGATGGGGTGACTGGGTGATAGACACTGGGGAGGGTATGTGCTCTGGTAAGCGCTGTGAATTGTGCAAGACTGTTGAATCTCAGATCTGTACCTCTGAAACAAATAATGCAATATATGTTAAGAAAAAAAAAAGAAGAAGAAGGTAGCGGGAGGGGAAGAATGAAGCGGGGGAAATCGGAGGGGTAGACGAACCATGAGAGACGATGGACTCTGAAAAACAAACTGAGGGTTCTAGAGGGGAGGGGGGTGGGAGGATGGGTTACCCTGGTGGTGGGTATTGAGGAGGGCACATTCTGCATGGAGCACTGGGTGTTATGCACAAACAATGAATCATGGAACACTTCATCTAAAACTAATGATGTAATGTATGGGGATTAACATAATAAAAAAAAATACCTAAAAAAAAAAAAAATTTTGTATAAAGCGGGGCGCCTGGGTGGCTCAGTTGGTTAAGTGACTGCCTTCGGCTCAGGTCATGATCCTGGAGTCCCAGGATCGAGTCCCGCATCGGGCCCCCTGCTCAGCAGGGAGTCTGTTTCTCCTTCTGACCCTCCTCCCTCTCATGCTCTCTGTCTCTCATTCTCTCTCGCAAATAAATAAAATCTTAAAAAAAAAAAAAAAATTTTGTATAAAGCAAGTAAGATTTGTATAAAGCAATATAGCATATATTCACAGCTTTTTCAAATATGGCATATATTGTTTAGGTTTAGAGTCAGAAAATTTAGGAATAAACCCCATCTCTAGCATTTATAAGCCATGTGACCTAAGGCAAGTCATTTAATATCTGAGACCTTGTTTCTTCATTTGTAAAATGAGATGGTAACATCTAACCCTACGGTGAATGACATATAGCCATCACTCTCCTATTCAGATCCAATGGCAAAATCTTCACTAAGGTGATGAGATTAACTAAATACTGATGGTTAAAAAACAAAATTTTTTTAAGACTTTATTGAGAGAGAGCGCACGCATGAGCAGCGGGGAGAGGGAGAAGCAGACTCCCCTCAGAGCAGGGAGCCCGACGTGGGGCTCGATCCCAGGACCCGGGGATCATGACCTGAGCCTAAGGCAGATGCTTAACCGACTGAGCCACCCAGGTAACCCCCCCACTTTTTAATTTTTAAATGAGTGCCTGGGTGAGTCAGTTAGTTAAGCCTACGACTGTTGATTTCGGCTCAGGTCATGATCTCAGGGTCGTGAGATTGAGCCCTGCATCGGGCTCCCCGCTAGACATGTAGCCTGCTTAAGATTCTTTCTCTCCGTCCCTCTGCCCCTCCCCGATCCCTGCTCGTGTGCTCTCTTAAAAATTTTTTTTTGAAAATAGCGTTTTTTAAAAATAATGTTAACATAATGAGATATTTCAGGCATATGTATAAGCAGAGATACATGATATAATACACATTGGTGTACTCTCACTCAAGCTTAAAAAAATTCAAGAGCCTGGGTGGCTCGTAGGTTAAGCATCCAACTCCTGATTTCTTGATTTTGGCTCAGGTCATGATCTCAGGGTTGTGAGATTGAGCCCTGCGACAGGCTCCACGCTCAGGCTTCCCTTCTCCCTCTGCCTTTACCCGCCCCCTGCACCCTGCTCTTGCACTCTCTCTTTCACTCTAAAATAAGTAAATCTTTAAAAAAAATTCAAGATAATTGATTTAAAATTTAAAAATCAGACTTGAGATTTTTGAAAAATAAAAAAGCTGCAGTGCTCTCTGCTGTCTGGCTTTCTAAGAGCACTTCACAATATATTCAACAGCCCTACTCTTCATTTTAAGTATTCTGCCAATTACTAAAGCAGTCTTTTTTTTAAAGATTTATTTATTTGAGGAGGGGAGGGGCAGAGGGAGAGATTCTTCAAGCAGACTCCCAGCTGAGTGGAGGGGAGCAGGAGGGGAGGCAGACTCTATCTCACACCCATGATATCACAACCTGAGCTGAAACCAAGAGTTGGACACAACCAGCTGAGCCACCCAGGTGCCCCTAAAGCAGTCTCTTTCATTCTTCTCTTTTTAAAAGATTTTACTTATTTGACAGAGAAAGAGAGAGGGGGAGAGAGAGCCGCACAGGGAGAGGTAGGGCAGAGGCAGAGAGAGAAGCAGGCTCCCCGCTGAGCAGGGAGCCTGATGCGGGGCTCGATCCCAGGACCCCGGGATCATGACCTGAGCCGAAGGCAGACGCTAAACCAACTGAGCCACCCAGGCACCCAAGCAGTCTTTCTTTTTTTTTTTTTTTTTGACAGAGAGAGACACAGTGAGAGAGGGAACACAAGCAGGGGGAGAGGGAGAGGGAGAAACAGGCTTCTCGCCGAGCAGGGAGCCCAATGCGGGGCTCAATCCCAGGACCCTGGGATCATGACCTAAGCTGAAGGCAGACGCTTAATGACTGAGCCACCCAGGCGCCCCTGAAGCAGTCTTTCTTAATACCTATAAGCACCTTTTTTCTTGTCAAATCAACCTTTTCCTTAGTCCCTTTAACTGCTTATACTCCACAGTCAGCATCTTTTTCCAAGTTATACTCCATATACCTATACAGTCATGAAGTCATTTATTAAGTCCTCCTCTTCTCATATGAAATTACTCTAAATCTACATTGGCCAAATGAATGTTGATTTTCTTCATATATTATTAGGTGGAGTTGGATGAGGACTGAATCCTACTCTTCTTTCCCTCCCTCCCCCTTATCTTCCTAGAATTCACTTTAAAATCTTAGACTTTAGAAGGAAAAAAAAACCCAGGAAAACAAATTTTAAAAGTAAGTAAAATCCAGTAGCTGACATTTGTGTTTTACCACATGCCAGACACTGTTCTAAACACTTCATATGTGATTTTCTCAAATAATTGTCACAATAACCATATGTGACTGCAATTGCTAGTACCCCTAATTTAGAGATGAGGAAACTAAGACATAGTCTAAAGGCAGATTTTGACCAGAGTCTGTCCACTGAACCGCCATACTACAGAAATTCACCATTATATCAAACTTTTACTATTTTATTCAACGAAATGAGACAACTACAAGGTTACAAGTGTGAATTTCATTTGTGAGGCATTAACTTACCACTTACCTCACTAGTGAACATGGCGCAGAAGTAATCGCTACAGGCAGCTAGCACAATCCGATGGGCAGGGAAGTCTTTCTGCTCTACTCTCAAAGTCACATCACAGAGGGTATTGCTCTTCCGGAGAGAGTTCATCGAATTGAGAATGGATTTAGCGTGAGTATTTGTCATTATGTCTTTGGGGGCCATAATGCCTCCCATCAAGCAATATGGAGAAAGAATGAAAGGGGTCCTTGGATTCTGCAAGTACAAGAGAAAAAAACCCAGAGCACACTTGAAGGATGAGGAAAATTAAACATATTCAATTACCTATACAAATAAGGAGGCTTCCTCAGACCCAAACACAAGTAGGGAGTACTCCTATTACTGGTCTTACCACAACAATCTAACCACAAACCCAAGTAAAAACAATCTCTTCTTCCTCCAAATTCCAGTATCGAATTCCCCTGCCACTTGACATTTATTATAATCAATACTCAACTGTATGTAAATAGAAAAAAAACCACACATACCTTGCATATCTTCACAATGCTGTCAGTCTCAAATGATAAAATGAAAAGATAAAATTTCCTAAAGGTGTGATATCACTATTACTTAATATCCATAAATAGATTAAGTAGGTATTTAGAGGATAGGATTCTGTTTTATATGTTTTTTCCTATTCTAGCAGGTGTACCTTAAATGTTTAGAAATCAAATGTAAGAAAAGAAAAATTGTGTATTCAACTTAGAGCAATAAAGGCCAGAGGCAGTGAAAATGAACTTTTTTCTAAAGAAGTAAGCAAAGAATTATTATGACTTCCAAATATCTCTGGATTTCTTCTTAAAAATGACATTTCAAATGAGGACCCAATACCTACCCTGAATAATGCAAACACTGCAAGCTTACCTATGGACTTTCACGTGATTAAGTTATTGAACCTCTTCTACGGAAGGGTATTCCTACTCTACATTAGTAGTAAACATCCAGTAGTAATTCCTCTACACTGAAACCAAGAGCCTAATTATTAGGATAGAAACCTATTAAAATTCCACTACTGATTTTACTGCCACAGCCAATCACTTGCAAAGTTCACTTGTATGTATCAATTAAAAAAACTCAGTAATACATTACATATTAAAAAAACCCAATGTACTTTTTTACTCTCTTGATTATTGACAGGCTTTAGTGCCTTTTTTTTTCTTTTTTTGTTTCAAGGACAATTTCTGGGAAATGAAATGGGATGGTTATTAAGAAAGTCTTATTTGGAATCTATAATCTTCTGAAATAATCTAAGGGGGAAAAAAATCAAACAATGATCTTCAAGAGTCCACAACTCACAACCGTAATTTTTGAATAGCACGAACGAGACCCTAAATTCTCATCTACTTCTATATACAGTTAGCATTATTCTTTTATAAGCACTCTAGATATAATCTCTCCAACAACCTGCAACATCCATTTTACAGAATAGGAGGTGATTCACCAAAGCATATGACGTTTTTCAAAAAGATCTTCCTTAAGTCTATTTACTTCCAATTCTGAAGATGTAAGAAAAGTCTGAACAGATGCCCATTTACTGTGAAGATTCTTTGAGGAGCTACCACAGGGCTCAGCCTAGAACTGGGTTTTACAGTTTCAGTGTCAAAACCGACTGTAACCTTAATTCAGTGTAGTCTTCCTCCTTGGGGACTCCTGCCTCATCAAGCAAAATCTCAGCCCTATCTTTCACTCTCACATTTTTGGAACTTCCGTTAACATCTGAATAGAGGGGTTCCACCACGGAAGATTCGGGGAGGGGGCGAGAGCGGAAAGGTGTCAAATTCTAGAAAGACTAAATTCCAGGTGGGAGAAGGGGAGGAATTCCAGGTGGGAAAAGGAAAGACAGTCTCCCCTCCTGACAACACCGGGAACAGCGCGGGCAGCTCCAGGTGGAGGTCCTGGAGGGGCGCGGTCAGGGAGGGGACGAGAGGAGGGCGCGCTCCAGGCCAGGAGCGCCCCCGGCCCCGCAAGCCTCCCTCCGCTCACCGGCGTCTCGGCGTTCCACCCCGGAGGGAGTCGATGGATGGGGGAAGGGCCGTAACCGGGAGCCGGGAGCTGGGAAGGGAAGAGCAGAGCTGCCCGCCACCGCCTCCCGCGACTCACCTCCGCTCGCGGGCCCACTCAGCCACGCCGGGCCTGTTCCCCGCCCGTGGGAATTGGGTGGGGCGCGGGGCCAGCAGGCGGCTCAGGAGGAGCCTAAGCGCCGCCGCCGCCGCCCCGACCCGAAGGCTCGGGAGCCGTCACCGTGCTCTTCCAGGATCTCGCCTCCGCGGCCGCGCGACGTGATGACGTAATGCAACGCGAGGCCCGCCCTCCTCCCTGCACCGGGCTGCATCACGTGGGGAGGAGGCATCACGTGACCTTCAGGTACCTGGGTGCCGGGCTTCCGCCCACTTAGAGAAAGGCAGAGAGAAAAGGTGGGGCAGGGTGGGGTCCGCAGGGAGGGGCGGGGTGTACAGTTCTCTTGCCGCGTGATTGGCTGAGATCAGATTCTGCCCCAGTCTCCCGAGATCCGGCAGATTGACCGGATTCCACATTTCCAAACTAAGGAGCTGGTTGCGGGAGGTATGTTTTACCTGCCGGGTATTCAGGAACCCTCTCGCTTGGATAAAACCCAAGGGGGCTTCAAATTTCTTCACGTCCATTGTCCACAACGGCCTTTCCCCCCGGACCATGGCTGTGGGGAGAATCCTCTGAGCCCTGCGATCCACTGACCTCAGCATTCTCTGCATCATAATGGGGCCTATCATCACCCTTGAGGTGGTTCTCCTCTACTTCTTGCAGTGCAGGACAATGCAGTGGAAGGAACTTGTGGTCACTAGGAGTTGGACGTTGTGAGGGAAATTGCAAAGGATCGTATGGGAAGTCCCAGTAGTCATCATTTCCCCTCTTTCTCTTCTGCTGACTTTTCACCAGCTCGCGGGTGCTGAGTGTTCAGTTTAGTAATTGTGCTTCTAGTTGATTTTGGCATACTTATCTTAGTGGTTCAGAGGAGAATGAGGAACTATCAACTTCCGTGAATGTCCAAACTATTTTTGATGACACAGTACTTCCCCCTTATCCAGGGGGCTTATGTTCCAAGGCCCCCAGGGGATGCTGAAACCATGGATAAATGAATAATAATACTATTTATGCTATGTTTTTTACTATACATATGTATCATGAAGTTTAATCGTCAAGTTAGGCATAGTAAAAAATCAACAACAATAATAAAACAGACTATACCAATACACTAAAATAAAAGTTGTGTGAATGTGGTCTCTCTCTCTCTCAAATTATTGTGCTGTATCCACCCTTCTGATGATGTGAGATGATGAAATGCCTACATGATGGGATGAAGTGAAACATGAATCCCATGTTTTCCAGATGCAAAATAGCACATGATGTAGACACTATGACAGTGTTAGGCTACCCAGTGACCTGGCAATATGTCCAGGGGATCATCCGGTTCCAGATAGCAGTGACTACCGGTAAATGAAATTGTGGAGAAGGGAGAACCACTGTACTGTTTTCCTTTGCAGGACCTTTGATTTATGGATAATAAAATGATAACCAAGTGGGTAGCAATCTAATTTTACATAGTGTTTCCATCTTTTATATCATCTCTCTCTGATCTAAAAGTATCCCTGATTGGGCTACCTGGGTAGCTCAGTCGATTAAGCATCCAACTCTTGGTTTTGGCTTAAGTAGTGATCTCATGAATCATGAGATTGAGCTCCACCTCGGGTTTGGTGCTCAGCAGGGAGTCTGCTTGAAGATTCTCTCCATCTGCCAACGCCCCCCCCCCCCCCGCCCCGCCCCGCTTCTTGCTTGCGTGCACGTGCTCTCTCACAAATAAATGATCTTAAAGTATCTCTGATTTACACATTGTGGTGGGCAAGCAGGATTGGCACAAGTTCTATTGGGGGTATTTGGGAAAAGTGAACCAAAATGATGACTGAAGATAACTTTAACTGAGTGATTTACATAAATTTATCCCTCATATAGACTCATGCACATGTAAAATGATGTGTGCACCAGGTTGTCTGTAGATTAGATTGAAAACAAACTTAACATACATTGTAGGGAACTGCTTCAGTAAGTGTGGAACATCCATACAATACAATATCATGAAGTTGTGAACAGTGTGTATAGGTTGCTATTATTTGTGTAAAACTTTGGGGAAATATTAATATTCATATTTGCCTGTATATGTACCAAATGCATCTGGAAAGATACAAAATGTTGGTTTCTTTGCAGTGAGGAACTGGTTGGTCATGAGATAGGGTGGAAAGGAGATTTTTCCCTCTATAACTTGTGCCTTTTGAACTTTCCATCGTGTGGATTAAAAATATGTCCAAGTTAAATAAAAAGTAAAAATAGGGGCACCTGCCTGGCTCAGTCAGTGGAGTGTGCAACCCATGATCTTGGGGTGGTGAGTTTGAGCCCCGCATTGGGTGTAGAGATTAAAAATAAAAACTTTAAAAAAGGAAAGTAAAAATAATCCCGTGTTTTCCAGGTGCAAAATAGCACTTTAATGATATTGCCTAATTCCTTTCTGCTAAATTGAGAATTTTTCATGATGTGAGAGGGAACTTAAAAAAAACGTGGCTTTGTTTAGAATATGCCCACACTTTTCTCAGAGAATAAAAGATGGAGAAACTGCTAGCAAAAAAGCCAGAAGACTGAGGGAATTAATTCAGGCTTACCCTACTTTCTTCAGTGATATAGTCTCAGCACATTTTGGGTCTTTAAGTCATGGGGACACTATCCTTTCCCCACAAGAATATTTCTAGTCATTTGGATAACTGACCTGAAACCCTACAGCCCAAACTTATTCTGACTTTTTTAGGCCCATTCTGGAGGGCTAGGGCTGGATAGGGTGAGTCAGTCAGTCCAGTTCCATACATCATCCTGCCTTTATGGTTTGGGTATTTATATTAAAGGGTTTCAGGAACAGAAGACAAAGAATTGGCCTTGGAACTCTAGATCAAGTACATAGAATATAGGTTGAATCTCTAAAACCAGCTAGGCAGGATACATTGCATTTTTGCACCACCAGAGCATGGCAGACAAGAGAATGTACCTCTTAATTATTCACTGAATGTGATCAAAGCAGGGCCCCAGCCACTGCTTTGAAATTCATCACTGAGTTTGCACCCAGGTCACGTCTCCCAAGGGCTGTTTCCTGCCCCTTGCTGGGGATAGGAGAGATGCTAAGGCAGATCCTTTCTAGGGGTAATGGGACTCGGTTGTCAGGGGACTTTGGGTCAAGGCCTTCTCCCAAACAAAGGGCTTTGCTGAACCTTTTTTTAGATGGCAAGGCAGTCTAGGACGCTTCTCCCAACCTTCTCTCCCTCTTTCCTTCAGTGGGGGTCAGACCTGCATCACAACCTCATGGCTCTCCCTGCCTTCTCTGGCTCCCTTTATATTTTCTTTTACATAGAAGCATTTCCCCTAATGAAATCCTTGTATACTTAATTTCATCTTGGAGAATGCTTCTGTGAGGACCAGACTGACAGAGCGTTCAAGAATTTCTTTAGATCTTGGGTGCCTGGGTGGCTCAGTTGGTTAAGCAACTGCCTTCGGCTCAGTTCATGATTCTGGAGTCCCGGGATCGAGTCCCGCATCGGGCTCCCTGCTCAGCAGGGAGTCTGCTTCTCCCTCTGACCCTCCTCCCTCTCATGCTCTGTCTCCCATTCTCTCTCTCAGATAAATAAAATCTTAAAAAAAAAATTTCTTCAGATCTTATCCATTTGTAATAATTTAAGAGTTTACTAATGTTCCCAGAGTTCTATGTTTAAATTGAAAATGGATGTTCTAAGGATAGAGATAAGTTAGTCTCTGTCCTAATTTTTAATTTTTTGATAGGAAAGGGCTAGAGTCTGATTCTTAGCTTTTATTCTTGGCCTTTCTTTAATCAGAGCTTGGCAGTGTTTTGCCATCATTTACTTGTTTTCCTCTAGTGTCCTGAACAAGTATTTAGGAAGTGAACGAACCAGATGTATGCAGCCAAAGAAGGTAATATTCACTTGCTACTAGTTAGCAGTTCTGATAAAGGCAAGGGAAGATACTGAAATCAGGAGCAGAGGGATTTTTTTTTTTTAAAGATTTTATTTATTTATTTGAGAGAGAGAATGAGATAGAGAGAGAGAGCATGAGACAGGGGAGGGTCAGAGGGAGAAGCAGACTCCCTGCCGAGCAGGGAGCCCGATGTGGGACTCGATCCCGGGACTCCAGGATCATGACCTGAGCCGAAGGCAGTCGCTTAACCAACTGAGCCACCCAGGCGCCCAAGAGCAGAAGGGATTTTTAAATGATCTGAGGCTTTAGAACATGGGGTTTAAGTCAGCATGATCTGCATTCAGATACTGACTCCAAACCTGTCCATCATCTTGGGAAAAAGTTTTGGTCTTTTGGGACCTTAAGGTTTTCATCTGTGGAATGGGATAATGCTACTGCTTCACAGGGTTAAAGATAAAAAAGATATAAAATGACATATGAAAAAGTACACAGATAATCAATGTTCTCTCTCAGATCCTCTTTCCCGGGTCCAACTACTGACAAATGAGCAAACACATACACACTAGGTCCACTAATTGCTCTGGATCTCCAGATGGCCTCACATGCAAAATGGACGGAGGCCGTCGGATCAGATGCAGTCTGTTTCCTTCCAGCTCTATACAGTGGTTGCAAACTCGGATGCCTCCAGGGGCTAGGCCAGTGACCCCAACAAGTGAGGGGCAGCAACACTCTGAGAGCACAAGCCCTCCATCAAGGGCATCACTGGTATTGAGCTGCAGGTGACTGCACTCTGCAGGCCAAACAAAACATGTTTGTGGAGGTTTGCAGCTTACAGGTCACCAGTCTGTGACTTGTGCTATCAGCTCTTTAAGGACTTTTTTTTTAAAGATTTTATTTATTTATTTGACAGAGAGAGACACAGCGAGAGAGGGAACGCAAGCAGGGGGAGTGGGAGAGGGAGAAGCAGGCTCCCTGCTGATGTGGGGCTCGATCCCAGGACTCTGGGATCATGACCTGAGCTGAAGGCAGACGCTTAATGACTGAGCCACCCAGGCGCCCCATCTTTAAGGTCTTTTTAAGCTTCAAATTGTTTTGTATGTTTTAAAAAAGATTTTATTTATTTATTTGACAGAGAGAGACACAGTGAGAGAGGAAACACAAGCAGGGGGAGTGGGAGAGGGAGAAGCAGGCTTCCCATGGAGCAGGGAACCCGATGTGGGGCTTGATCCCAGGACCCTGGGATCATGACCTGAGCAAAAAGCAGATGCTTAACGACTGAGCCACCCAGGCGCCCCCGAATTGTTTTGTATAAAGATATAAATACTTCTTGTATATGTGTAAGAAAACATAACTATGGTATAAGGAACACCCAGGTACTCACCGCCTAGTTAAAAAGAATGTAAGCTTTACTTTTGAAACGTTCTATGGGTCCCTATTCTAATCCTCTTCTTCCTCCTTCGGAGGTAACTGTTTTTCTGAGTTAGTATTTCTTTTTTAAAGGTTTTACCATGTCTGTATCCCTAAACTATCATTAGTTTTGCAAATTAGTAGCTTTACATAAATGCAGTCATACCAGTTTTACTCTGAGTTGCTTCCCTCCTTCCCCCAATCTTTTTTTCCTTCCCTAATTTTGAGATTCAGCCATGTTGCTTGTCACTGTAATTAATTTTCACTGCTAAATAATGTTTCATTATATGAGTAAACCAAGACTTAATTTTCCATTCAACAGTTTTGGACATTTGGCTTGCAGTATGTTGCTACCATACACAGCTGCAGTCTTTTGGTATAAGCTAAGTTTCTCAAGAGTAGTGCTTTTCAAAGTGAGTTGTGACCCATTTAGACTTATGAACAATTT